TCTTAGGATTGACTTACTTTTGATTGCTTCGAACAGCTGAATGGGACCCTTCAGATCATTTTTATGCAAATTATTATTTCTTTAAACCCTGATAGAGTTAACATTTGTTCTATTGTGTTTGATCGAGTGATGGGCAAATCCGGAGTGCCCATCCCTAAGCCAGCGGGTCGCAGGTGGCGGATAGTGAAAGGCCTTCAGTGAAGGTTAGCTCCGAAGTAGAATTCCAGACTCAGCTCCAAAACAAATTGACCAAAAACACTTGCCCCAACACAGAGGATCCTGTAAAGAAATCGCAAGAAGTTAAAGACACCCTACAAGAAACTACAGCAGAGGTAGCAGGCTTCACTACGCGAAGAAACCAAGTTGGTTTGCTGAGAATGATACCGAAATCTAAAGGCCACTTGATAACAAAGGACTCTGCCATGAACATCTACTTGCCCACCCAAATGATCAAAAAGGCCGAGGTGGATTAAAGAGAAGCGTACAGCAAATTCCAAGCACAGTTGTGGAACATGGAAAACAACTAGTGGATAAACATTGCTGAGAAAACACTACAATTTGCTAACCAAGAAAACACAAGAGCCTTCTGGAAATGTTTTCGTGGAGTGCACGGTCCCACCTTCCAAATACAAGCTTCGTTGGGCTCGTCAGATGGTGCTATCCTGTTTACTGATAAAGAAACCATTCTACAACCCTGGGCTGAACACTAATTATGAGAACTTGTTTGGCGTGGAGAGAGTGGTAGAAGAGTCTTCAATAGAAAACATCCCACAACAAGAGCCGAAGACGGACCTTGACAATCCACCAACAAGGGAAGAAATTAATACAAACTCTAGGTCAACAAAACAGATGATATAGATGGAATCCCCGCAGAGGTGTATAAACATGGAAGAGATTTCGGCTCCACTACACAGTACAACATGAATTAGAAAAACCATTAGGTTTATTATGGCTGTTCCGGCCGAGCACCGCACATATAACAATACGTTATATAACAACCTCTATTACATTCAAACATTTGGTGGAAAAACAAGAACAGAGCTGAGCGACAGTTTACACGGAATACTGTCAGAACAGAGGCCAGAAAAAACCTGCCGGATAAAACCCCAATAGGGGAAAAAAACTCCGCAGGAAATCTGGGTAGGATTTGAAAAGCCCATCCTAGGAAGGCTACACGGCTGGAAGGTCTTTGCCCTTATTTACTAAACATGTATTCCAACAAAGCACGGAAAACTCTAAATAATTTTAGGAAACGCAAACAAGCTAAGAAACCCCAGCGAAACTCCAATTGTCACTAGTAAATCAAATGTATACTAAAAAGTAACGTGAGCGAGACGAGGTGTCGGCCTAAAAATCTTTTCTACGTGATAAACATCCCTTTTATAGGCCCATGCTGCACTTCAACTTCCCCAGTCCCCACTGCTCCCGTGCCGCAGAAATATTTAATTTCCAGCTAATTCGTATCCACTCAACGCCGGAAATTCCATACGTCATCATTGAATAACTTAAAGACCTCTTCACAGCCTGTTGGACACAAGGTGTTGTGTCAGACGAACTCCGTGTTGCAGTAATTGTCTCTTCATACAAAAGCAAGGGAGAAACGTCGGACTGCAGCAACTACAGGAGCATCATACTTCTTTCCGTCGCTAGTAAAATATTTGCCACAGTTCTCCTGGAAAGGCTCATACCAGTCACAGCTGAAGACAGCCTCCAGGAAGGTCGATGCAGTTTCAGAGCAAATAGAGGTACAGCAGATATAATCTTTGCGCTGAGCCGGACAGAATCAAAAGAAAATGCCGAGAACAAAACATGGCCCCTATATGTAGTCTTCGTCGATCTAACAAAGGCCTTTGACACAGTCAGTCAAAACGGACTCTGGAAAATACTGAAGAATTGGGCTGTCCTCCAAAATTCCTAAACATCTTGCTCCAGGTACATGAAGGACAGAAAGGTACCATAAAGTAGGGCGGAGACTACTCTGAACCTTTTCCTATTGATAACGGAGTGAAGCAGGGCTGCGTTCTAGCCCCAACATTGTTTGCCATATTTGTCAGCATGATGCTTAGGGAAGCAAAGGAAGATCCAACATTTTAATCTACGCCGTTTGGCTCGTATATTTCCTTGACCTGCTATTTGCGGATGACCGCACCCTCCTTGCATGATGAACCCTTCAGGTATTGTCAAGCAAACCGAAAAAGATCTCCGTAAATGAATATCCACATTAATGGGGATACTACAATAAAATCATCACGAACGATGTAACATCAGCAAAAGATGTAGAGAACAGGATGTCAAAAGCTGGTAGCGCATTTGGTTGTCTACAAAAACGTGTATGGCAAAACCACTCTCTTCGCTTCCCCACCAAGATTCTGGTATATAAGGCTGTTGTAATCAATACCCTTCTGTGCGGCGTCAACACATGGGTACTTTACAGAAAGCAAATCAAACTCCTAGAACAGTTTCACCGACGCTGCCTTTGCTCCATCATGAACATTAGATGGAAGGACTACAGAATCAACAATGCAGTCTTTGAAAAAGCCAATCTTCCCAGTATGAAGGCCACGTTGATGCTGAGACAGCTACGATGGTCTGGCCATGTCTCCCGTACGCCTGATACACGAATCCCAAAGGCAATCTTCTATGGGGAGCTATCAGAAATGGAACGAGACAGAAGGGTTCCAAGTAGAAGAGAGGAGGAGACGACGAAAGGAAGCACAAGAGCAGGATCCAACAGGACCTACCCTCTTGGGCTCCCAGATGTCCTAGGATCTGGCTATCAAGAATGGGATTGATAAGTCACCTGAGGGCGTGCCACCCTCCCCTGGCTGGGCCCCTCCACAACTGATCTTCGGAGACGAAGAAATGCCATCATCATCATTATCGTGTTTAATTAGGTGAACATGCCTACCTAAAATACAAAAGGAGATTGGGATGACCCTTGATGAAACCATGTTGAAATGACATGATTGGCAGTGTATCCTGAGGAAATCATCGCTTCATACTTCCCAAGGTGCGTACCGATGGTCCTCTTACAACCAATGCTCCCATCCTTATGTAGCGTTTGTCCTTCCCTTATTTATAGCAAACTTTGATTGCTTCCGTAAAAAGACTAAAAAGACCAGCACCCTTGACTGTTTTACGTTTTATTTCTCGACAACGTTTCTTTCTTGTCATGTCACTCTATTTTCCCCTTTTACTTCTCTTCTCAATAGATTCTAGTCTCGTTTTTACAACGTAACCGGTGGCACCTGAAAGCGCTCCGGCTGCTACTCCTTTACCACCAGCTATCAAAGCTAGAAAAAGAGCTGCCAGGGGTAACAATCCTCCTTTCTATGATTTATTTCTTCTCATTTTTTTCTTTGCTAGTCGTTTTCTACTTTTCAACTTTGTCATCGTTTTCGTCTTCCGGGGCGATAGTAATTGACGTTGTCTTTTATACCTTCTAAGCTCTGTTTCGCCAAGAGTCTACAAAAAGCATCAAAGGTGGGAGCAGGACCTGACAAAAACATGCTCATGCCTTCTGCTATTTTATCTGTGGTGGACGGTCCACCATTTAAACTCCTTTTCGTTGTTCTCACAGGTGCACCTCCTCACTGCTTTCTCCATGATATCCATCTTCTTTTTTTAGTTCTCATGTTTTTTCAGTTCTTTACTCCATTGTATTCTCGGGTAAAATATAACAGCACATGCAACCTTCCTCTTTTAATAGGTGACTGGACAGTCGAAATCATCGTGATCCAGGGTTGAAGATCCGAATGGTCTTTCAGTAGTTTTCCTGTACACATTCATCACTTCTTGCCACTTATGAGGAAAAGCTTGCGATGATACATTCCTCATCCCCAATTGATTCCTAGGATTCCTGAAGGTCACAATGTGATGGGAATTTCTTGAAATACTCTTGAAATATTTTCCGGGTAGAAACATATCTTGGCGCAAGCACACGACAGTAATGTTCCGATGATGAGAATGTTTGGTGAACAAGTCTAAAACTTCTTTATCGTTTCCCCCTTCGACAATAAGATCGTCCAACACCAGTAAGCCACCTTTTGGGGACCACGTTTTCAATTGTTTAAGGTCTGGCACACCTTCACGAAAATTATTTTTGATTTTCTCAAAAAGGAAAACTTAGCTTCCTATCTTCCATAACAATACACCACTATTAGGGGAATGTCTACAAACAACTCATCTATATGATCAGTCAAGACAGATTGTGTAAAACAAGTTTTACCACACCCAGAGTACCAACCGCTAGAATGCTGGAAGGTGTCTTGCCCTGAAACATTTGTGTCCTTTCCATTTCTCTCCGATCAAATGTGTTTCCCCAAATATCACAAACAGTTTTATAACATAGTTTTGACCGGGCGGATGGGAATGGAACCCCGTTCTCCCAAGTGGCCCTTGTACTATCGAGCCTTTTCAAATATACACGGGTAGAGGTGGAACCTACAGCCTCGAGGAATGAAACACCCTACTCTAGCCGACTAAACTATCAGCTTTACCCAATGAGTGCAACACAAACATTTGAGTTTTAACAATCATGCTTATTGAAGTACAAAAACCGATACACCTTATGTCGAACGTCACGTCTTTAAGTCTATTGATGACGATTCTTTTGACTGCTGTGAAACCGTACTTCAGCCTCCATTTCAGTTTCTATAAACTGTTTGACATCTGACCTACTTTAAGGTTGTTACATACGTAATTGTGTTCCGAAACTGTTTCGATAATTCCTGCATCGTTTGACCTATGGCACTTTCTCTCAAAATCTTTATTGCATAGTCTCCACAACTCTGACTAAACAAAGATTGCAGACTGATGGCGTTCATAACAACATATTTCCGATGTTTCTTCATCCATTGAATAAAGGGTTGAGTAGCTTGGTATACCTCGAAGGATAAGGTATAACTATCTATTACCTCACAGGTCTTGCTATAGGTCTATAGGCCTATCCAACGTCTAGCAGGCATGTTATGGGAATTTGTATTCATGATATAACCCACTTAGTGTTGTTTCTGGGGTCTGTTAGGTAATTTGTCGCAGGGAACAGTTCCTTTAAATGAGGCAACAACACAGAGTCGTGCCTTACCCTATCTAAAAAAAACTGCACGTTGTTCATGGTAATGTTTTCTATTTCTTTAATTTCCAGTGATATCGTGCAACATGGCTCGATTAAAATCGATTTCCAACAAGTTTTCAAATTCAGCATAGACTAAGACCACCATGTTTTGAGTTTGTGGAGCACTGAACACTTCTATTTGTAGTTCGCCACTTTGTCTTGGATCCATGGTAGGGCAATCCACACATCCACTAGCCACATTGTCAATGGCAAACAATGTGCAATTCTTTGCATATCCCCAGTCTTGGAATCTGATCGTGTTTCCCCTTTGACTAAACATCCTGTTGCTTGCAAAAATCGGTAATTATCTGTCATGTTTCTCCCTTAATTATTACTGTTCAATTACAAGGGTTGAAATGAATACTCTTCACCTCCAAAATATATCTTTTGGAACACAAAGGGATTAGAGGCGTAGTTATCATGAAAGGCTCTAGCATTTACTAAGCGAGTGACGATCCTGTTTAGAATCTGTATTGAAAAGGATTGTCGATTTGTAGACGCCATAGACCAGCTTGGGATGGGTAATCCCTAATTTCAGTCCTCAAGGTGGGATACACAGCAATTTGATGTTTGGTGTTTATTGTGGCCATTAATCCTCTAAACACATCATCGTTGAGTCGGAGAAGGCAGAGGTACATGCGCATTTTGATATCATCAGGCTATATTCAACTCTTTGAGATAGTATCAGTCTTTTCAGCATCCAAGAAGAGTTCAGGATCATTAAGATTACACTGAATATTGAATTCAATTCGTCACTGGGAAGTTTTAATGTTTTTCATTTTTGTGTTCTAATTCCAGGGCTTTGTCTTGATTAGATTAGTTTAATGTTTCGAGATTACGTAGCCTTTTGTGTTCTAATTCCAGGGCTTTGTCTTGATTAGATTAGTTTAATGTTTCGAGATTACGTAGGCCTTATACTATTCATTCTCCCGAGATATTCCCGAGTCGTCCAGATAATGATGCTCATTAGGTACTGTAATCCTGGAGGTGAACAATTTTTTGTTGGAGTACTGCATTCTTTGGCTAGTTGATTTCCAAACGCGCATCTCGCGCATCTGTTTTTAACCGATCGAGGTATCAAAAGGCCTCCATGTGACTCAGATGGTGACATACAAGTGGTTAATTACCTCGTGCATAAGAAATAAGTTCGAGAATGGTGTGTTCTGAAGCCACCGAATTCTGAGTGCGAGCAAGCTGTATATCTCCTTCGTGTTCTTTAATCCTCTCTAATTCTTCTCACAATTGTGACAAGCTGTTAAGGAGGAAGTAAATGAGAATTATTACAATTGTCAACTTGGTGCTACTGCCTTGATGAAACTTTAGATTCTCAGGCATAACAAACAAAAGGAGTGGGTCTTTATTTGGGAGGATTACTATCAGATCTTGATTGTTCAAGAATGCGACTCATACTAAATTGATTCATCTGTGGCATTGCGAAAAAACCCAAAGAACAGCCGCAGCCACTGGAATTTTAATCGTAGGCCTTAGGAGTCAGTCGTTGCCTAAATAAATGCAATTTCTCTCTCATGTGTAATACAAGCATACAAAAAAACTAATTTATTGTTTTCCAAATGTGTTGCTTAAAATTTTCATTATCCTCGATATGTGTGCTGATCCTAAAAACACGAATTCAATGAAGGAAAATTTCATGAAGTAAATACTTACAGTTCATTAAAGAGCCAACAGTCCCGACAAAAAAGATTTCGATGGAATTCGAATAAGACCTGATCAAGGGGGACAGTTCCTTATAGTTGACTAACGGTTAGGCTTCGCCTGTAATGTAGCTCAGGAAGGATTCCACATACTACGAGGTCTTCTACTGCGTGAGAATTACAAGTGCCACTTAGCGAACACGTGAGCACGTGTCCACTTAGTGGAGACCAACTTTGGAGTTAATGCTGAAGATAACAGTAAGGACTTATTAAACTAACGCCGGTCCATTCAAACTGGGTGTCCGTCAAATATAAAATTTCATGAAGCACAGATGTTAAATCAATAGCTTTGTAAAGCACGTACATTGAAATAAAGGAGTGGTCATTGGCTCATAATTTCTTCGAGTCTGTATTTTTGATTGACTTTCTCTTCTATCATTTTTTTTTTTTAGCTTTTATATCTAACAGATTAATGTTATGTAACATCACAGCGGAATCCAGAACTAGGATACCTTACATGGGGTAAGCACACGTGAGGTCTACACATTATAGTAAGACTTCATTGGAGTTTCAAATGTACATTGTAACAAAACCTTGTTTATCGCCCTGTCATCTCGTCAGTGCGATGTTATCTTGCCCCGGACCCCCCACCACTTAAGAAATGTAGCATGATAAAAAAAATTATATTAGACTTCCGACACGTCCTCATGTCTGAGTAAATGAAAAAACCCAACAAGCACAGCGGTATGCACGCAAATAGCAAAGCTTAGAGTTAGGGTTAGGGTCAGGATCAGGGTTGACACATAAGATCTTTGGGGGAGGACCTAGAAAGAACCAACCCATAAAAAGTCCGTAAGAGCTTATGTGAACAAGGTACAGTAAATTAATAAGAGTGTTCTTCGACCTTTCGTCTTAAAGAGGTATAACATGCTATCACGGCCAACTGCGTGATGTCCATGCAAAACTGGCCGTTATCTGCACAATCTTTCCGTCCGGCTGTCAGTTAAGCTGGTAAATCCACCTCTGAGAACTAAAATCTAAAAAAGTACATGTACAATCAATCATGCCAGTAAGGGTGATAAGACTACGCATCAAACAAAATTAGCGTAAAACTACCAGTTAGGTTAAGAAGTCCACTACTTTGCGCCAAAATGTCCCATATACGCACGTGTACAAATCATGCTAGTCAGGGTAACAAACTTACAAATCAAAACAAAATCAAGCATGCATAAATTTGCCAGTTGAGTTGGGAAGTCAACTACTTTGAACCAAAATACCTCATATGTGCACGAGTACAAATCGTACATATCAGTTAGGCTAACAAGTTTACAATCCAACAAACCTAACATAAAACTGCCAGTAAGGCTGAGAAGTCCACTTCTCTGAACTTAAATCTCAAATATGTACACGTGTACAAATCGTACATGCCAGTTAGGCTGTCCATTTCGTTTTACTCTTTGAGAATTTTTATCTCTGCTCACGTTATAATCACGTAAATTACGGTGCTTGGCATGTTCACAAACCTTTGTTTCGTTTTTCTGTTGCTACTTGCCGGCTCTTTTGTTCCGAAATTTCGCTTCATATTGACGAAAAAAAAGCTAAAGAGAAGTCCGGGAAATGGTCGGACAATTTGGCAGATGGCGTGAAAGCTTGAGCGCAGCTCTATGCTTTGTACTCTGATAGAGCACGCCCTTTCAGTCAATGACGGCGCGCGTTACATCCGAACTTCGTCATATAATCAAGTAAACCTGGCGTACAAATGCAAATTAGGCTGGAGAGTCCTCTAATTGAACCAAAAGCCCCCTCATGTAAAGGTGTAGAAACGAAACATGCCAGTTATGCAAAAAAAAAAACTGTCAATAAGGCTACAAAAGCAAGTGCAAATAACATTACGTAAGCAGTCTATAGTTAAGAGCTATGGTACTGATCAATGAGTCACCGAAGTCGAAACACTGAAAAGCAACTTATATAAGACAGTTTAAGACACATGTAAAACACGAAAAAAGAAAAAAGAAATGTAGGATACTCAAGCAGATGGAGCCGAGCAACCGCTAACAATAGAAGAGCGATTAGAACGGAGGCCAGAAAAAAACCTGCCAAAAAAACCCCGATGAGAAAAAAGGAAATCTGGGAAAGAACTAAGGCTCTAGCTCCAGAAACTATAAGCCCATCCTGACTATTCCTTGTGCCCGTGATGCACCGGTGTGGTACCCAGGCCGTGAAGTCTCTCTTGCTGACAAAACATTTATTTCAGCCTTCTTCGCAAGCTCATTCGTCAGAAATAGCATTTTTATTTCTTGCGGATTAACCGAACCACGCGCAGGTACAATTAACCTAACCATAAAGATTGCATCCATCTGGCAAAACGCACGGCATTGTTTACAAACAATATCCCGTGCAAATGTGGCAATTATACACCAGAGAAACCGGGAGAGCGATGAAAAAGAGAATTAAAGAAACAGGAAAGAGACATATGCCGCCACAGAGCGCCAATGAAACAGGAAACGTTACTGTTTGGGACCAGGTCGTGACTTTCACTGGTACACGCATAGGATTAAAGAAAGTCAAGAAGCCATCCAATAAGACTCCATCTTAATAACATCAATGGAGATAACGGAATAAATCATGGGTGCACACTATGAAAAAAACAAAAGAGCCAATCAGTAACGAGGGTACAATATCAAATACTTGAAACGATGTAACGAGGATCCAAATGCACCAATAACAGCACGCCACAACACATCACTAACAACAAACTAATGAGCTATAAACAGCGACAAATAAATTTTCGACCTCGTTACCTCGCGAACACTTGCAGTATAGCAGGCGAATCGTCACGATCAAAACACGATTGAATCTTACATGGTGAGGCAAACGATGAAACTTTCACTTATCTATCAAACCTCAATGAAAAACAACATTTCCTATGACTACTTTTCACCTCTCAATAGTTTCATCTTCAGAGACATATTGCCGGTAATTATTGAATCTCCTACTTCTAATCAGTTTAAACGATCGGACTGTAAACACTGGTCAGTTAGGTTACTCATTCCGTCGGTACCCTTTAAAGAATTTAATGCAGCTCAAAATTTGCCTGAGTCCGTTTTAGTCGAGGCACCTCTCCGAGTATGGTCATGACTCAAAACAACTTCACGTCTTTCAAAAATTGGTTGAATTACTGATGAAGCTCGCCAATTACTATTAAACGTCATCATGATTTTGTGGGGGAAAAATTAAGTAATGTTATACCAACTTATAGTTTAGTGCAAACCAGACAAGAACGAATAAAACAAAGATGGATGGTCAATATCTCATTTGTGCACCACTATTAAGCCGGCACGTGTCCCCATTTTCAATCACAGATTGAGTTTTGGTATTCCAAAGCGTACAATAGATGGACATGGACTTTAAGTCCAACTTAGCAACAAAATGAAAAACGAATAAAACTTTCAATATCTTGAATTTCGCCCCATTTTCAATCACAGACAGACCACTAGATGGGATTTGCAAACATTCAAAAAACTATTTATTTCACACAACAAACCACTAAATTCAAAACTATTTATTACACACAAGGTAAGTTAGTGTATGCAAGCTTCCCGAACATCTTAAACTCAAAAGGAACTCAAATATGCGTGTGAAATGTTTGACAAGGTCACTTTGAAAATGAATAAGTACACAGACTTGGAAAATTGTGCGTGTCGTCAAACACTATTCAAATGCATCAACTGAAGAACTCTTGAAAGAATTTCGAAGATCCTATGGGAAAAAAAAAGATAAATAAAAAATTACTTAACATAAAACCTTTCATTTATTTCAGCCCCCAGAATTTGATTCTAACTTGTAAGTTCGTTGAAAGTCCTCGCTTATTTTGTGCTGTGTTGATAATTTGAAATCCTAAAAATCTCAGATTAATGTAACTCATCTCAAACATTGCTCTATAAAAGAAATTATTCGAAAGTAAAATTTACCAATGTTTTAAACCGCTGGCACATATGCATGCAGTCCTGTATAATAGGATGCTGGTATAAGAGGTGGAATGGAACGGCTTCTGTTTCCTCGGCACCAAGTTCCACAAACACACCTGCCAAACGTTCCTGTTATAAATAATAAAAATAGTAAAAATAAAAACTTCAAGATCTTCTTCTAAGAAATTGTGAGAACAAAGATAAATTTAAAGGTAATTTTGGTTTTATCAGTTGAGTTGATAATGTCGATGGCCACCGTTAACAGTTTCAAAGCTGAAGTTTTGGGCGTTGGACCTTCGTCAGAGCGAATGGGGGAATTGTAGGTTGTGTGAGTGTTTTACATGCAGGAAATGGACCTACATTATTGGTGGGAACATGATGACGAGAATTTTCAAGAATTGTGCGGCTTTCCGAACTGCAATTCCCTTTTATCATTTTCTTAGACTTAGTTGTAGTGATGACCCTGGTTTTTTCGACGAGTCAGAGGCAATGGTCCAGTTTTCTGAAAAACGTGGCTATCCTGTTTCAGTCAGTCAAGCGGGCCACCACCGCGCCCAACAAATTGATCGACAGTCAGCACTACAAACGGAACAGAAGGAAAATACCGATCGCAATCCATTCACTCGCACATTTCACCCTCACAACCACGTAGTTAAATCATCATTCCTTAAAACTTTAATTTACTTTATAATGATTCAGAGACTGGTACTGTCTTTTCGAAACCTCCACTTATTTCATTGAAACGTTACAAAAAGACCTAAGCAAAAAGATAGGCATCTATGTGGTCAGAAGTTCATCACAAACTAATGACCAACCCAGAACTTTCCAATGCGCTTGCCCACGATGCAAAACCTGTCCTTTCATTCATAAAGTTGAGAAAATATTGATCCAAAGCATCCATTAAGATTACTGATCACTTCACGTGCATCTCCATCAAAGTCATCTCTAGCATACCTTGCACTATGTGCAAAAAGATATTCTTGGTAAAACAGATAGCCGACTGGGTGACCGATTCCGAGAACACCTTAGTGACGTAGAGAGGAATAACATGGACGCATCCAAACCAGTTGCCACACACGTTAATCTTTCTGATCATTCTAAGCAGCACTTTGGTAGTCTGCGGCCTTTCCTTACAAATGGGCAGTTTGGAAAGCCGCAAAACTTTTGAACAACAATTTATCTATCAAATCGGCACCCTTAATGCCCACGGTATCAACGAACGTTTGACATTAAAAAAATTTACTCCTGTTCATTGAAAACATAATGACACCCTCAGTTTTTACTCTCTTACCTTCGCAAATGTATCGTCTGGGTCAGCCGTAACATTAAGGCGGTATGTATCTTCCTGTTGCCCTTCACCATGATGAAAAACCTGCCAATGGAGACAAAATTAAGCAAAATGATTGAAAAAAGATTGGAACAAACCTGACTCTGATTCATGAGTGAAAAAAGCAAGGGATGGTACCTTCATTAGGTTGTCCAGTGTCACAAGTGAGTTCATTTCAGGTGGTGGTGAAGTGGGTTCCTGGGATACAAGTCAATTTCATTAATAATTGTGCTTACTGTTCACCGCCCTGGTACTCAGCACGTGGACGAGGAAAGATTGTTAACTGAAACCAAAACCTTAACTATCGCTATAGCTTTGAATAGGAAGCTTGCGTGCAAAATCGAGAGAATGACCGAAAAAATCAACCGTAATAAGTCGTTTGGATACCGTTGATAAGTACATTTTACATCTGCGAAACAGTGAAAATGTTATAACATTTACTTTGTCTGCCTATATAATTTTCTGTAATAACTTCTTTGAATGTTATGATTGCACTTTTCAGTTCTAAAATAAGTCCTAAATAATATTTTGTTGTTATGTTGTTCTTATTCTTTCCTGTTTAACAGAGAAGAACACAGGAAATGCCCCACGTATGAATTAAATCCCATTCGCGCTTGAGAATGATTCCGTTCATAGATCATTTATACTTAGTGATGTTTTACAGACCTGGATTTGTGGGACACTGACGTCACCGCCATATTCTTCCGTCATTGGTTGAGGGAGATGAACTAAAGACTTGCTGGACGGCATTGGTTGGTTTGCAACAAGGCTCAGTCCTCGAAGAAAACCCTCTAAGGGGTCTGGGTCAACAGCAAAGTACAACAGCTGTTTGAAAAAGACGGGAAAACATTGAAATGGTCATGTTCAGTTTCCAAGTTTTGTGAGTTTCACAGTATGCCATATCCTGATCAAAATTTTCCGATAGATAAAAATAAAAATATCCGGCCGGAAAAGGACACCAGAATTCATCATGTTTCATTAAAAGAAAACGGGCTAATATGCAAAGCAAAGGACCCTTTTTACTCGCAAACTTTTTTTCCTGTTTCAAACGACAGCCTTTCCAAACATATATTAAATATCATGGGGAATATCGCGATATTGCGATGATGCTTTTTAATCCGAATTTACGGCGCTACCTTAAAGGTTGTAACGAGCCATGAAAGACAAAGCTAAGGATAATACAACCCCATAGTACCCGGTCGACATTCCCTTACCATATCAAGGTAATCCACCGTATGGACGCCATTGTTATGATCTGCAAATATCTGATAAAACGCCTGCAATAAAACAAATCACTGACATTTTTCAGCTATCTAATCATGCCACAAATGAATACAGGAGGTAAGTTTCTAAAGGAATGTGGTGCTGCGACGATTGGAGAGTATAACAGGGTAATTTGGTATTATGAACTGAGTTGATAACGTAGATTGGCCACCGTAAAGAGTTTTAAAGCTGACGTTTCGAGCGTTGGCCCATTTTGTCGGAGCGATTAGAGAAAACTTCAGGACCCAAGAGATCCATTAATATCACTGATCACTTCACGTGCACCTCCGCCAATGTAATCTACTGAATAACTTGCACTTACTGCAAAAAGTCATACATTCGTGAAACAGGGAGAAGACTAGGTGGCCGATTCCGAGAACACCTTGGCGACGTAGAAAGAAATGACAAAGACGCATCCAAACCGGTCTCTAGACACCTTAATCTCCCTAATCATTCTAGGCCGTATGTGGTAGTTTGCGGCCTTTCCCTACATCTAGGCAGTTCGGAAAGCCACAGAATTCTTTAACAAAAACTCATCTTTCAAATCGGCACTCTTAATCCCCACGGTATCAACGAGCGCTTTTCGTCGAACTAATTTATTCTTGTCTTCTCGTTACCATAATCTGATCAATAGCGTAGCTCCTTTTTCTGCATAAAAACCCACACACAATTTCTCCAATCGCTCTCACGAAGGGCTAACGCTCGAAACGTTAGCTCTGAAACTCTTTACGGTGGCCAATTTACGTTATCAACTCTGTTGATAATACTAAATTACCCTATCTAATTATACCTTACATTCAATTAACAATTCAATGTTAAGCTTAAGAATATGAAGAAGAAGCAGTTTTTTTGGTTCATTTCTGGGCAAAAGTACAAAAGTATTATTTTCTCAAAAGATATGTCTTCCTCTCGCAAGTGAATAACACCAATAAAGAAGGAGGGAGTTCGCGCACCTTAAGGAGCAAATGGCCTTCGATAGTTGGTAACTTTGAATATGAAAGCGATCTTCGCAGTAATGAACACTACTTGAGCAGTAGTGAAAATAAGGTCTCAAAAATGGTTCAGGCCCGTACGGGATTTGAACCCATGACCTCTGCAATATCGGTGCAGTGCTCTACCAACTGAGCTTACAAGTAAACTGGGAGCTGGTCACTATGTTGGTCCCAAAGAAACCAATGAGGTGATGAATAAACGATCGTGAATATATCATTGAAAATCATTTATGTTCATTACTGCGAAGATCTCTTTCATATTCATGTCTTTATCCGCAGTTCGCATTCATGATTTTCACATATTTACAGTCAGTAGGTAACTTCGTTGCATAATTTAGTGCTCGCTTGAGTAATCCACTTACTCAACTCACCACATAAAATGGTGCACACTGCAATCCTATAAACCATCTTTTAAAAACAAACTTGTTAAACTTACATTCTTTAGCTTGCCTAGTCTGTCAAATGCAGGAGACTCATCCGGGTCTTGAGGATTTTCAAGCTCTTGTTGCCCTGAGAACCAAAGTCCTACCTACTCACACGTGAGAACAGAGAACATGTCAGCTGTAGATAGTAAATAACGAGTTACATGAAAAGACCATGTGTTTGTGCGAATGCAACCTTAATGACAGAAACTAACTTAAAAGTTTCTGAAAATCAAATTGTGTTTACGTCTGATACGTTGAACAAGAACAAAGCAAAAGTGTAAGCGGAGGGCGGATGGGATCCTAAATCCGACAAAGAAAAGCTCCACCGATACACAGGAAAAATATTTCCTTTGAAATTAATTGAATAACATGCCATGCAACTATCAGAAAACAAATTTCAATGGAAAGTATCCTTTGTTATGTGCACGTACAGGACAATGCACATGCGCATGACAATGCACTAATGATATCACAAAAATCGATAGTCTTTAAATTACGTAGTCGCAAAAATAACCCTAAGGTATACCACTGCCGAACGTATACAAACCTGTTCAAATTGTTGCTGGGTTAGAGTTCCTGACAGTGCAGTGTCTACCTCACGACAATGTTCCAGCGTTAACAACAAATCCATTTTTGATGCTGGGGGCCAGGGCTGCGCGGCCGCCAAAAGAAACCTCCGCCAATCAATAAACTCAGTGTCCAGAGCAAGTAATGAGCAAACCTCTTGTAGCTGGTGAGTGAAAATATAAGAAGTCATTTTCCCTGGTATGCAGCAAGATTATGCGAACCTCTGAATACGTCATTCGCACTAATGAAGGGCTGCTGCTCGAGACGTCAGCCTTGAAACTCTTTACGGTTGCTAGTATGTACTTATTGACTGAGTGGGAGGGCCAGACAGGAATATATTTGGCTCGACGTCACGTCGCATCTGGCTCGACCAAACTCAGTCAATAAGCATTTTATCATATGATCACTGACTAAGTTTGAAACATTCGAAAAGTTTGTTTTAACTTAAATAGGACGCGATAGACTTGAGCGCGCGGGAAACCACAAAAAAGACTACTATAAAAACGTTTCCTTTGTTTTTTTCGAGCCTGAATAAGAAACTTACAGTTTATCGAAAACGTAACTTATTTTCTCATTCTTGTTCACTGCTTTTGATCACTTTTTGCAACAATGCTGTACAAGTGCACTAGGGCCGGACGGCTGTTTCCGGACCGGCTCACATCAACTCGTCTGGCACTACACACTTCAGCTATCACAATGACTATGGTTGTCTATGGGATTGCGCGGTTTGAAAAATGATTGAAATAGTATCAGGGCTATTCAACCCACCTGTTGCTGTGTTATGTTCATCCACGAGTCTGGTAGCAGCTCCATCCCGTGCTGTTGAAATAAAAACAAAAGCAACGTAAATTGGGCGCTTATGTACGCTACTGCTACTATAATAAGACGAACAGACAAAACAAGCGACAGCACAGAAACATTGGAGGGTATATTTGTAGCACTCACGGTTAAAGCTGTCATATCCATTATGGTGTCACAAAATGCTCGATTGGAAATGACACCACTTGGGGCTGTCTCCAACATCTGCAATGTTGCACACAAATAATACATTGTAAATTTAAAAGAGTTTCTAAAAATAAAAATAAAAAAACATGTCTGTCAGCGTGACTTTCTGGCTTTATGTCTATCTGTATATTTGTTGGTCTTTCAATTTCTTTGTCTAACTGTCTGTCTGTCCATCCGACTGTCTGTTTGTCAGTTTGGTTTTCTAACTACTTCTTTGTTTATCAGTCTGTCCAACTGTCTGTTTGTCCGTTTGGTTGTCTAACTATTTCTTTGTCTGTCTGTCTGTCTTTCCGTTCGACTGTCTGTTTGTAATATTGGTTGTCTATCTCTTTCTTTTTCTGTCTGTCTGTCTGTCCGACTATCTGTTTGTCAGTTTGGTTGTCTCTGTTACGTATTTGCCAATCAATCCAAGACAATCAATCAGACAAAAGGTGCAATACCTGTCGATGTAAGTTCAACAGTTGATTCACAGTAAATGTGTCACTCTGAGGCACCTCCGTTGGGCTTGGAGGCGGCGGTGGTGTGGGTGTCTTAAACGTCTTGGTGTCCTTACAAAAGAGACAATAGTAAAGTATGGAAGTAAGAATATAAAGGCAGAGTGGACAATAAGCACATTGACGAGGACGTCATTTAGTACCTACCACAGTAGATGGAAAAGCCATTCATAACTTAACTTCCAATCACAACCTGTTTCACTTGAACCTCAGTAGTGCAGATTGAAGGGTGACTAGGTGTAGTATCCCGTTCTCAAAGTATTTACCCCAAACGAATTAAATCAACTGGGATCAGCAAATTTCCTGTATGGAGCAGTTTCAAGTCCTCTTTAATTCCCTTAGTTTACCTTCACGACAAAGACACACTGTTGGCAATTTGGCTACATAAACATCCCACGCCTTTACCGCAGATTTTCCAAAGCGATGAGGGGGGGGTCATTTTCCTTTGACTGACATTTATGACCAAAAAAAATTGTTTTTGAAAAGAAACATCAGACTCTTACCAGATCGACAACAAAGTCTTTGTCCATCAGAAGACTTTCTTCTTGTAACTTTTCCTCTTTCTCCACTGCAAAACGTATATTCTCTGCCATTTCTTTGATGCTAATACCAAAAAAAAAATCTAGTTAAGAAACGTGTTATGCTGGGCTACTGCGTCATGTCTCGTCTACACCTGGCCTAACATTTTTAGGATTCATTGATATTTTCACCTACCAGTGACCAGCTTGTAATACCTATGAACTTAGAATTTCGACAATCACCTTCCAACTTCTTGCAGGAACCTTTCTCCCAGCCAGTCATCCATGTCTTTGTAAGTTGAATCCGCCTTTCCCTGAAATGAAAAGATACATAGGTTTATTTGCGTCTGAAGTCATCAGTAAGCACTTTACATAAATCACGTGATCTAGCAGAGCCAGCCTTGTCCTTGAGCAAGTGTTAGACAGGGACGTGCTGAAAAATAGATATAGGAACCTTTAATCAACGTCAACATCCAACACAGCAAACCCGCTGAGAAAAGAAATATTCCAGTTGAGGGCATTTAGTATTCTGTTTCACAGTGAACTATCTTTTCCTCTCCAAACCAACTCAGTCGAGAGAGACATCATCACCGATAGGGACACATTTACAAATACAAAGAGAGACTTCTCATGTTATGACCGTAATATTCCAAGATACATTGGCAAAAGGAGTGATAGTTATTTTCCATGCAAAACTTGACTCTAAATACAAATTTGTTAATATTATCTTCAGTTATTCTCCAAAACGAAAGCAATTTATTTGGCATGCCAAAGAAGTGAACGAATTCGTTAAAAACCAATTCAGAGAAGGAATACTTCGCCCTCGCTTCCAGAAAAAAAAAGACGGGGAGTCACGTGACCATAATACCCATTCAAGAGTTATGTGGAATGGTTTGGTTTGCTCTACAAGTGGTCACCCAGAAGTAAAGAAATCCACAACATCACAGAGAGCTTACATCATTACCCGGAATGTAAGAACTGCAGGTGGGATGCATTCAACTCAAAATTAGGCCAACAGCTATAAAAAGTGTTTACAAGTACCTTAAGTTCCTGTAGAACCGCAATGGCGTGGTTTTTTATCATTTCAAGGCGGGTTTTCAATCCATTGTCTGAAAGACACAAGACTCGATGTTGTTTGTAAAATGAGGGCAAGAAATACAGAAATATATGCACGACAGATGTAAGGCAGACTTAAAAGAAGGTGAGATTGGGGGGATCTGTTCATCTCACCTTCTGAGCCAACAGCACCAAGAAATTCCTTTCTTGCTCTCTCCTTTGTTTTCTGCTTGAGCTTCTCTTCTTCAGACTGTCCTTCTTGGTCTTCTGGTGGAGCTAAAAATGATTAGATAAGTAAACAAATTCACTGTTTTCCCTTAGGCTGGAGCTATGTCAATTTACTACGGTATAACAACGTTCCTCTACTCTTCAGTAAAGTAAACTTCAAGAGCCCTGATACAGCGTATTAATACAATAGCTGATAGAGCTTAGGGGTGGGTCTCAATTTTATTCCTTAATTTTGATGCGCTATAAGTTTTAAACAACACCAAACGGTAAACATACGCGGAGGAGGTGTCTCTGTCTTAGACGGTGATCCGCCCTTTCCAGGACTCTTCCGTCCTTTCTTGTCTTTCTTGTCTTTTGCTTTCTTCTGCAACGCTTCTTTCTCCTTTTCTTTTTCAAGCTCGGCCTGTCTTATAGCCTCAGCCTCTTGCTCTGTCTGATCTATCAAGGCCTGTGTGAAAAACAAAAGGATTAGCACAACAGAATCTTATTAACACGCCTAAACTCAGTGACAACTGCTTACCAGTGTGTCGATGATTGTCAGAGCCATTATAAAAGCATCAAAGACGAGCTGTCAAAAACAGAGAGCATAAAAGGTTAGTAAAATCAACGGAAAATATAGCAGCAGCATCACTGAGAAAAATTCCTCGAAGAAAGATTATGTTGATAGCCATGACTGTCATGACCGATACAAAGGTTTACGAGTTAATATATAGATTTAGCCAAGCCTAAAAGCGGAGCTCGCATTTTTTTTTTCCCACACGTCTCAAGGGCACAACGCCTTGCCCCAGCCAGGACTAGAACCCGGGTCGTCCGACTCGGAGCCCAGCACACTGACCACTGAACTACTGGACATAGCCGTGGCGTTGGCGTGCCCGCGGTAGAGTTGACCACGCATGTTAGAAGTAGCACCTTGTACGGTCGTAGGGTCGTGCGGTCGTACATCCAAATTTTTTTCGGCTTGATGGGTTACTACTATTTTGTATAATTATGGGGCTACGCTCTGCGAGCTCCGCTAACATTTAGATCTGCACAACTCATCCCACCATAATCCATATTATGCACCTGTTAAGTTAACGTTTGTTCCTTTCGCTCAGAATACGGAAATGTGCATCCACTTTATATCTATGTATCTTTGATCACAAATCACAAATTTGATCCCAAGACCTAAAATCTACAAATATTAGAAAAAGCAAGTCAAAGAGAGCTTTTATCAAAGCAACATCGGGTAATTTGTTTTTCCACATCATTATGAGCAGGGAATCTTTGTTCACAAATTTGTTGCGCAGACCTAAACTCTCTAAATGTTACAATGAGCCAGCCAAGGAAAGCTTTTAAACAGAACTGATGGTTTGTCTCACTTTCTCATCCGGATCTGAAGGAGGCACAGGGGTATCTGGTTTATCAGGGTCAGCGGTTTTGTCCTTCTTCTTGTCACCCTTCTTGTCTTTTCCTTTTCCAGTTCCCGGTTCCCCAGACTTCGGACGGCGAGGAACTAAAGGTATGCTAAAGAGCAAGCAAATGAGGTAAATTAATCTTCTGGACAATAATCGTGAACAGCATGTTTAATTTCAGTTTATGAGCGCTTTTCATCTATGAGGTCTAGCCGAACTACAACACCTGGTTCATGCCGGCTCAAACTGAAAAGTCAAGTCCTCACGAGTAAAGGCACGAAATTTGTGTTCTACTATAGTAACAAATGGTGTAATTATTTGGCATCATAGCCTCTAATACTTCTCACACAGATCTCCGCTTGAAAACTGACAAACAGAAGTCGAAAGACAAGGCCATCACGGCCAGAACCAATTCTGTGGGACAACTAGAAGTCGGAACCCTTTATTATACTGCTTATTCAAATATGAGAGGAGACCAACAATGACATCATTCCTTTCAAGGTTACAACATGTTTCAATGCAGCACCGCACTGCAAAACAAGCAATAATTATTCACTCGCAAATTCACCCCTGATGCGTATGTTTTTTATGCAGCATGGGAATTCTTAAACTCAAAACTCAAACCTTCAAAATAGGTATACTACCATAACAGTGTTTTGTATCGATAAAAGTTTAACTCATAACCGTCACATTTAGATCACTTATAAACGGTTGCTATATTCCTTTAGTGCAGGCTTATTTCTGTTTAGATGCATTTTGTATTCATAGAGATAGAAATGCACTAAAAGTTGTTAGGATCCTTAAAATTGTGAAATCCTTATGAAATTACATATGTGCACAGAGAAGCATGATGATTGCTGCCATATCCACAGCACAGTTACCGAGGCTTTTGTTCCTCCTCCGGTGCTTCTGAAGGTTCAGGAGTCTTTGAACTCTTATCTCTGTCTTTTTTACCAGATGGACTTTTGACCTCAGTCTTTTCGGTGGCTGCTAAGTTGGTTACACTCTCACTTCCCCCAGACTTGGATGATGCAGACTGTGGTCTTACAGTCAGTGGTAGTTCAACAAGTGGTAAGCGCGCGTAGTCTGTGATAACTTCTGATGGAATTTTACCTGTTGATGAAATAGGGGAAAACCATTTGTGAAAAGCAATATTATCTGAAAGAAACAGCACTCTCAAGTCGTAACGACGAAACAAAAAATCCCCGAAGGAGAGAATTTTAACAATCAGGAAGGATGTTTGAGCACTATCCATCGAGCCAAAGGTATCGAAATCTCCGGTTAGAAATCAAAGGGAACAGGAAAAATTTTAATAACAGATTCCAAGAATGTATATTTGTGGAAATTGTCCATTACATTAGCGACAACTTTCGCCATGCAGATTAGCTTCCTTCACTTGAGACACAAAATGGCGGTTTATGCTGCACTAAACTGTATCAGTGCGTGACAATTGGCCTTATGCCATCAAATTTGTACAACTTGTTTTATAGACCTTTATTGTTGAACGAACGTATTTGACCCGCACCGCACAAGTAAGTTGATCTTAAGCAAGGTCTTAGTCCAGTCCATTTTCCTAAAAAAAATCCGCTGGAAGGAGAGCGCCCCTGTTTTCAAGTTGGATCTCCTCACCTTCCATACCAACATAATAGTCCCTCAGTAACCGCACTGTATCTTGGTATCTATCGACTTCTGCTTGCATTAATGTGATGTAAAAGTTTGTGAGAAGACCAAGCCGATCCTCCAGCCAGCCCTCATTCATCACTGATTGACGCTCTTTCTCTGCCAGGTCTTTGCGATTGTCACAGATATCGTTCAAACGATCACAAAGGTCCTGCAGAGAAAAAAAAACAATTATTTCTTTCTACAGCAAATTAAAAACAAATTACCAAGAGCTCGCCGACGAGTCATCTGCAATTTAGATGGTAAAACATTTTGGAAAGTAACACTGCAATTCAGGCTGAGGTTCAAATTCACACTGAGGACTTTATCTTTGTCCCACACCCGCGACATATTGTTTTAAATGTAAATATAAATATTTCCATAAAAGTAAGGGGGAGTGGGTACAAACATCTAGCTGCTGGTGTAGCTCCGCTTTGGTATCCTCGTCTCCTCTCATGTCTTCAGTCACTTCATTGTACGACTGCAAGATCAATCGTACAAGCAACTCTGTTAATGGTTACAATATTAAAATCGCGGTAAGGTTGAGATGATGAAAGTAGCAGTTGGCGATATTCTAAAATTCCAAAAAACAAAACTGCCGATATTTGAGCAGAAGAATCCCAAAACGTGGCAACTAATAGTGCTCCAGGCGTATTACCCATAAGTTACCAAACAAGAAAGATCATTTAGGGTTTACAGTTACGATGCAGAATTTAAGGATTTTATCATCAAGAGGTTGACTGACTAATTCGAAAGAGTAAACAGAAAAGCTGTCTGCTTTTATTTCAGGCACAATACACAGTCCACATGAAAATTGCCTCGCACTCCAGTTAGAAGAAGTTTACTGGAACAAAGGTTAAATAGCAACACATACGTTGCTAGGAAAATACATTTCAATAATGCCAAAGGCCAGCACCTCTAGGTATGGACCTATCAGGCGTTCAGCCCTTAGTATAGTCTAAAAACGACAATTAGAGAGTAGGCCAAGAATAAAACTTCTTGAAAGTGAGACCATGTTTAAGGTGTGAAAAGCATCTTGCAAGACAAAATCCCCCTCTCACTGCTTGTAAATAGTCTTGATTGCCGTTTAAATTATTCTTTAGAATTTACCTTTTGCCATTGAAGGACATATTCCTGTTTCTCATCTGGCCTCTTCAAAAACGCTACAAAATCTTTTCTGTAAAACGAACCAAATCATCTAATTAACATGGATGGTCAAAAGAACTACAATAGATGAAATGATGAGATGTTTGAGGAACTAAATCACATAAAACGACAGCAAAAAGTCATCAAGGAAAAAATAATCAATAACCAAGCAACAAATCTCTGTTCACACATGTTCATTTATAGTAGAAGATGTGGTAGTTGGTGACTATCATAAATAGCTAACTATTTAAGAAAGCAAAAACATTGTTGGCTTGGTTTCTTCCCCTAAATTACATAAAACATTCGAGCTTCTAAAGGGAACCTCTAACCTTACTCCGTAGAAATATCTATGGATAAGTTCTCTTTCACGTCTGATCAATCCAAAGACGTTTTTACAAGATTCAACGTAGACTTCTTCAGTACTCTCCCACTGAGAGACAAGAACTCCAGCAAAATCCTACAGAGATACAAGTGACTTAATAAATACTGATTTCTGACACAAATTAAAAGCGCAAACAGAAACTCAATGATTTTTTTGCTGATACAAAAACATTTGGACACACACAAAAAAGGATATATCTTAATAAGGAACCTCTTTGAAGGGGAAAGTATAAACTTTATTTAAATTGTCAGAGAAACGGGGAATCATTTAACCCTGTTTAGGAAGAGCCGATATACGTGATGTCTGCACTAACCCTCTTGTAATTCGGGTTTTCTAACTCGAAACTTTCTAAAATAGAGTAAACAATCATATATGAAAATTATGAAGCTCTCTAAAAAAATTACAAACATGTACCTGAAAACGTTTGGTACTAAAGAAGAAAATACATATACCATATATGATTCGTTCTCTGTTCTTCTTCAATATATATTTAGAGCGCCATAAACTTTGACTGGCCCATCGATTAGCTTGCCTATTTGCGGGCCAGTCCAATGTGCGAAGCAAATGATAACTATTTTATACTCCTAAAAGGTCATATTTAACAGGCAACACAGTAAGCATTGAATGATATGGAATTTAAAAAAAACATACCACATCAATAGCTTGATCAACATATTCCCAGTCCTCGGAACCAGGCTCTGGCTCGGGTGGCCCCTGGGGTACAGGTGGTATCTCCTCCTCTGGCTCTTCAGCGCCTTTCTCTGAGATATCAGGGTTATTTTGAGTTATTATTGTTAGTTTATAACGTAAAGTGAACCTTTGCTACTTCAAAACTCACATCTACCCGAATAAGAAAATATTTCCCTTGGGTTTGAGTCACCTATTATACTTTTATTTTGCACATGGTAACTCAAACACTTGCTAGCTCGAACAACTGGTACGTCGAAGCAATCTTTTGTTTCCATTAAAATTATTTCAATGCAATTTCACTCTTGAAAACTAGTGCTTTTAGGCGCTCATTTTAGCATCTCTGGAGTCCGGTTAGGCTTTCACTGGTTTAAGGTAAAGCTAACTAAAATGACTTTTATTTCCATCAAGCTGCGCTGCTAAACTCCATCTTCAAACGCTCTATCACCACTTAACTTTTCTTTTCCATGATACAATGGATTAAAAGGTACTCTATGTACAAACGCAATATTTTCTATCTTTCCAGTCTTTTTCTCTCCACTCCCGATCACGCAAACTCACGACAACCTGAATCTTTCTATATTTCTCAGGCTCTGAGTGTTTATGTATTTTGCTGTTCTTGTGGATTCAAAACAAAGTTAAGCTCATATTAGGAAAATTTCCTCAAAAATCCCTGATGCTGCAATAATGAAACAGAATGAGCAGTATTTGAAGTATCACATTTAAATAACTTTCCTATTCCTCCTAAGTAGGACAGGGCGTAGACTCTGACTCCAAAATATTGCAAAGGAAAATATATTTATATGGAAAAATAAGACATTTAACGTCGAAACCGCCCCTCCAGTCAAAAATAAAATAAACACATACTGGCAGATTTAGCTCTCTTTGATCCGGGTCTTGATCCCTTGGAACCAGGTCTAGAGCCCTTTTTTGACGCTGATGGTGACTTGGATCCTGATCTTGAGCCTTTCTTAGAACTGGGAGGGGATGGGGTACGGCTTTTAGTGCCTTTCTTCGATGCGGGTGGGGAGGGTGAGCGATCCTTCTTGCTTTTCCTGGACTTTGGAGAGCCTTAAGATAAGGACAACAACAAGTGATGTTTAGCCCAACCTGTTAAATGTTTCTCAGAATATGAACCAAAAAGAGAAGCTCCGAATGTCTTACTAATTTAATTTCCGGAACAGATCATCTGCTGACACAAAAGTATTACATGTACACTTCCAAATGTTGAAGCCAAAAGAGACTGAATGGTCAGCTAGAAAAGAATTTGTCTAATTATCTTTAAAATGTCTGTGAAAGTGTAAATTTTAAAAATGCTCTTTTATCATCATTGCTGTTCAACTATGAAAAGTAACGTAAGCAGAATGACTGAAAATACCAAAACCTAGTTGGTCCACAACCAGGGTTAGAAAAAATAATCAAAGAGTAATTAAGACAAAGTTGGAAGTTAAAAGTTATACTCCCATAGCAACGTGAGGTAAATATCATAGCACACTGCAACTTTCGCATCGCATCCAGTTATTGTACGACAGTTTCTGTAATTAGGCTAACTAGTGTCAAACAAACCTGGTTTGGAGTCTGCTTTATTCTTTGAAGTACCCTTCTCTGACTTGCCATCAGATTTGGCCCCTACCTCAGATGGAGCCTCAGATGGCGGAGCAACACTTTCTGGAGGAGCTGTAACGCCTTCACTTCCCAAGCCTTCACCTGAAGGCCCATCACCAGCAGGCACCTGAGCCCCTGATGGCGTCTCAGCTAAAGAAAAATCCACCTGATGAGTATTGCATTGTAATAGAAGTCAATCTCTCTCATAAGTTGTCAAATCATTCATTTTGAGAAATTATATGATTTGAGAGAATGTTAAAGATGATTGCATTTAAAAGAAAATAAGACTGTGTCTCGTAGTTTGGGTTATGGATGATTGAGTTACCATGCACTCACACAGCTAACTAACATCAGAGGGTACATGTATGAAAATCACATGGAAAAAGCTGAAGTGAAAGCTACCATTTTAACATTGTCGTCACAAAGATGATATGTCAAATAGGCATGTATTTGTACTGCCAAGTTATTAATCTTAATAGAAATCCCTTAAAAGACATTTCAACTGCAGGTCCTAAATGTTACAATAATAATGGTGACTTAGGTATGTAAATGTTACCTTCAGCTGCCTGTCCTTGGTGAACAGAGGGTTCCTAATTCCAGAGAGAATTACAGTATAAGGTTTAAGGACATACACAATGTTAACTCCCGGACATCATGACTTCAACACGATATTTTTGTCCAGTTATTGGATATCATCGAACCTACATTGTATGACAGATTCAGTTTTGAATTACACGAGTTGATCACCCCACGTGCTTAGAAAAAAGTTCCTGGCTTTGTCTCGCTCCCCAGATATATAAACAGAAGACGATAGTACATCTGTAGGGAAAGAACCAAACCTGGTAGGGAAGGGAGGGGATAATGCGTTTACTCCACGTCCAATGCATAAATCAATTGTCTAACAGATAAGAATAGAGTGAGTGATCTTGACCGGGTAAGAAATCTTAAGTGGGCGAGTGAATTTTAGGTCTATACCTACCCATACTAACATCATACCATGAGGTAAAAAGGAATTGAAATATGTTGATCATGAATGCTCATATGACTCTCGAACAATAACCCAAACTAATCACAAATCTGGCATCGATGCTTGAAAACTTGAAACTAAAACTTCCATTTGTTTATTGATAGTGACACTAGGATCGCTTTAAATGTTGTAGTTTACTTTTGCTATTTATCACCGGTTATTGTGTCTACTGAAAAATTGTCCTCTTACTAGAACTTAGTACACTTAAAGTCAATGAAGACTACTCACAGAAGGAAGCTCCTCAGGTGGTGCAATTAATTTCTGATAAGTTTCATTCAGTAAGGCTGATACTTCGTCATACAGTTCATCTAAACACGAAAACAGAAAAATATTAGGTGACATATTAGTTAAGTGCCATAGCGCTTATCTTCTAAAAACCCTTCTTTTTCCAACCCTTAAAGGATATGACATTAAATTGATCAATATAAATCAGAAAGCACTTAACTGATGCAATACAATGAAAATTCCGGGCAGATAAAATTTTAAGTACATACATGTATAAATGTCATTTACCTTGACTGCTGTTTGCATCAACGCGTTGAAGAACACCAAACTTAGCAAACCATTTTTCTAGCTTTGGCCAGCCATCACCAAAACCTACAATCCTGTAAGAGAAGAAAAGACATCTCACCACAAGACAAGCCAAAAATTCTTCTTCCTGCTTGCACCCATCTTATTACTTTTCAAACCATAATTTTAGATTACTCTGGCACACAAAACATATTGAACAAATCCAAATACTGTTAATTGAAAAATATGTCTAAGAATTCTTGAGTTAAGCTTCCACTCTATCATATTTCATCTCTCTTAAATTTCACAACACAATCCCATTCATTTCATTAAAGTAACTTTGCTTGATTATAGAGTAAACAAGAATAAAGAGGAAGGCTAACCTCTGCTGGACTTGCTCACGGTCATTTGAAGGATCAGTTACGGGGATAACTTTTTCATGTTTATTAATGCCTGTATAACTGCCTTCTACTGGTGGATTATACTCTTGATGGTACTGCTGGGAAGACATGGGATCATCTGAAAACAAACACATTAGAATGTGCTCCTTAATAGCCTAATATTGAAAGAGGAAAATTCTACCAATGCATACTTATGTACAATGGAGTTCTCCTGTTAAGCATTTTTAAATGGTTACATAGAGCTTCCATTCTTCAGCATGATAAGAAAAAACAGAAATTTGAAAAAAATAAACAAACAAACAAAAAATAGGGAAAGAAAGTTTGTTGGTACTCAAGTGTAAATGGTGTGAATTTAGTGAAATAAAAGGTATTTCTACTTGACATATGGCAATGAATTTGAAGGTCTGGATATCAATGCCTTTTGTCAAAAGTGAGGCTGGAAATTTGTGGAACTTCAGGAGTCTATGCATTAAAGATAATAAACCAGATTCAGTTCTCATTTGTCAAGTTAATCAATTTAGATTGGTCATAAAGCCCTTACACATTCTTCCTTCAGCTCTCATTAGTGAAACTTCATCAGGCAGGTCAAACAACAATACCAAGTCAATACCACTCTTGGGTGCAGGAGCCTGATCATGAGAAAAGATATTCCAATTGGCAATGGAGTAACTTAAGTCATACATAGTCTGACTGCAATTAGATAGCAACTCAGGATGGGTAAAGCTCAATGCCTGCCTTTAAAGAACGAAAATGGTGAACAATTTAATACCTTGGCATGTGCCAACAAATTAAATCAGAAAGAAAAGAGAATCAATTTCAAATTTGTTAATATCCATATTTCCCACCTTTTCAAATTACAGAATGGGCACTTAAAATATTTGATTTCATAGATAATTTTGAAATCAAACCAGGTGTATTCTTGGACAAAAAAGTCGTGAATCAGTAGACCCATCAAGCCAATGATTAGTTGCTTCAGTCAGCCTGTAACTCATTTTTTTCATGCTAACACATACCTCAGGTGAAGGGTGGGGGTCTGGTGCCAGTCTGGATTTCCTGGTCTTGCTAACTTTGCTAGGTTCTTTGGCAGCTTTAGCATCCTTAGCTTCCTTCTGTGCATCATATCCGCTGAGTGATTTTTCCAACAACTGAAATTATTGGAGAGAAAACATTAGGTGAAACCCTTATCTTCCTGATTAAGCACCTCTGGGTGTTGGTTTTAAACTGCTAGGAAGACAAGATTTTCATTCCACTCTTAGACTTTCTCTGAAATAGTATTTTTTTTCCAATAAAGCAGGGTTTTCTGCCAAATTTTAATTTAAGAAGACTTTTCACCTTTAGACTTTCTCTGAAATAGTTTTTTTTTTTCCTAAGTGAAGGGTTTTTGCCAAAGTTCAAGTGCATAAACATTCATAATTCAAGTTATAACCATTCATAATGTTTATAGGCTGCTTGAAAAAGGAAATATATGTTGATATATTTCAAGGATTGGGATAATGCTGCTGAAATTGGGATGCAAAATATGAAATGTGTTATTGGCATTCTGTTTAAGAATAATGGTATTAAGGGAATACTTTTCTCTGGGTTCAAGGGAGTGGTATCACAGGCTTTTCAATTTGAGAGTCTTGAGATGCCCTTTAGTCATACCATAACAAAACTGATATGGGTAAGAGGAGTAACAGGAGTTTAGCCATTCATGGTCCTCCTTTTTAGGGAGAGAATAGCCTCAGATAATTTCCAGGCATATATTAACTAGGAACTGTGTTGGTTCCAATAATCACAACATACCTTGGCTTGGTTAATTGTACTAGGAAACCCATCCATGATCCAACCGCTACCCTCCGGGACTTGCCTATCAAATTGAACACACTCCTGTTAGTGGTGGATTCTCATTGTTGACACTGAGTCAATGACAAAATGTGAAAAAAGAACTTACAACAAATAGGTCACCTTGAATGGGCATTTGGTTTCAAAAGAGTTACTAGCACACTTACCTGACAGCTTCTACCATGATATCAACCAATAATTGGTCTGGTGTGGTTTTCCCCTTTTTTAGAAAGCTATAAGCCTTTGAACCCAATTTAGCACGGACTGTGAGCTGCCAATATATATCAAATCACAAGTTTATCATTAATAGCTAACCCTTTGCTAACAACAGCAAATGTTGAATTAAACCATCCATCAATCAGTGACAAAGTAGAGAGAATCACAAACACTGTTAAGGTAGATAACAGACATTGAAACCCTTTTGACCTTAATATTTGAATCGCCAATTAAAAACAAGTTCATATTCTGGTCAGAGGTCAATCTTAATGAGATCAATTTCATGGAAAACATTATTAATTGAAAGAGTTACAATCTCGAAGGACACATTTGAAACATATACTTACTCATGACAAGGAAATACCTCCTCACAGCCCACAATGATGTTTATTTTTCCTCAGTGAAGTATAAGGTCATATGTGCTTTAACATTGTTATGGATTAAGGGAAGAGAGAAGAGCCCATGCAAGTCCAAGAAAAGGTTCCCAAGGGGAATGACTCTGAAAGAGGACTTTATTTACTTCCAGACATCACATCTCATTACTTTTTAATCTGTTCATAAATTTAAAGAAACTGTACTAATATTTGCAGTAATGATATTTATCTTTCAACAAAGAATAAAAGAAATCTGTAGTTCAGTTTCAGAACCACCTTACATCATTGAAAAGAGACTCTATTACCCATATCTACCCAATATACCTGTATTAAATTAATGTACAAGAGGAGACAGTCAAATAACACTCACAGTGGGCCCCTTAGTTCTTGATAAAACAGGCTCCAGCTCTTTAGACTTAGATGGTGATTTCTGGTCATCGTCTTTTATGTCAGTCATTTCTTTCTCAAGTTCTTCTTTAGTCTTATCTCTTTTTTCTTCCACATTTACAGCTTCATTGACTTGTTTTTCTTCCACTTTGTTAGGATCTTCATTTTCTATTTTTACACAAACAATAGTTGAGAAGGTTTGCTCCAGTGACCTGTTTCATGAATGGTGGGCCAAATGTTTGTAGAGGTCATTTCAAATATTTCTCCATATTTCACACCAATCTCGCTAAAACAACCCCATGTGAATATGGCTTCTTTTAAAATTGCTGCCTGCTCCAGTTAGCACAGTTTTTGGGTCCCTAAAATATGAGCTTTTTACACAAACTCAGCTGTCAATCAGGTTTGACTCCATTGCATTCCGTCTGTATGTTAATCAACCACACTAAAGAGAATATGAAACCAAGACTTCCAACTTAAGGACTTCAGGACTGTTCAGTTTTCAATCTAATTATTTCCTCTTATTTTGGCTAGAGAACAAACTCACTTTCTCAACAGGGAAGGCAATGGAAAAGGAAACATTTTAAGGGCTCTGCATTGAAGGTATTTAAGTGTCTGTCTGAATACAAACCTCTACCCTCTCCCATTGTGTCTTCTGGTGCACCTGACTGTGGTGTCACAGCCCTAGACTCCTCAGATGCTTGGTCTTTACTCTTACCAGTCTCTTCATGGATGCTCACTTTCTTAGTGGAGGTTCCTTCATCCTGGAAAAAAAAACTTATGCTAAGTCTCTAAGCTCTTCAGGTTACCAAGTATTTGTGTACTTGCACTCTTAATGACTATGAATCTTAAGATAACCACCATACCAGTATTGCTGTCTCCTCTGAAGGTTCCTCTATACATTCATTGTTTTTAAAAGCATTAATGGCCTCTGCAACAAGATCATCCACAGAGAGTCTAACCATTCGATGACCTGAAATGAAAGAATGATCCAAAGAATGGAATACATTTTAATCACATGAAGAAAAAAGAGAAAAACTTTTTCTTTGAAATTGAAAGAACCCCTGTTTTTATATACCTCAATTTTTTCATGTATATAATAAAGTAGAAGCCTAGATTGCATATTATCAACAGGTAAGGGATCCTACTCACCTTTTCACAAATGTTAGCAAGTCTTAAATTACAAATTTGATAATCACTTGCCAAAACTGGCTAGCAAAATTTCAAGATATGAATTAATTACAAGTCATCTAGCTTTTAGGTACATTTTAAAAGAAAGTTTTTAAAAGCATTAACAATATTATATCAATAAAGCACAATAAAACACTGCATATTTGGCACAAAAATTGTTCATAAAAGAGACAGATACCCCCCCCACGTACACACACACACACACAGTTTAAACAACACACTGGTTCCAAAGTAGCAACCCCAAGGCACTTTGCTTACGTTCACCTATGACTTGCAATCAGCACCAAAAAAAAAAACTTGTGTGAATTCTAATCGTCCTGTTCATCAAAATAAAGTCAAACATCAACGAACAATTATATAATAAACAAAGCATCACTCACCTTCAAGAATTTTATTAATTGTTGTGGTTTTCCCACTAAAAAACTTTCCAAGAAAACAGACCTTGATTGGAAAAGGTGGAAACTCAGGTGGAGGTGGAGGTGCCTACATAATAAACAAAACCCTTAACAATCTGTTGACAGTAAAAGTACCTATTTGCTCCAACCTATTATTGAAATATAAATTGAAATTTTCTTCCAAAAGTTTGGTTACAAATCAGTACTACACCATGAAGTCCCTATGAGCATTTACAAGGTATTCTAGAACATTCTGGAAGCTTAAAACACGACCACTTTGGTAGTGTTACTTCATGACTACATGACCTAATCAAGTGTTCCAGAAAGTTCCATGGTATGTAAGTCAGCATGACTAAGCACTCTAGAAATTTCTAGATATTTCCCCTACAGTTTAATATCCATAACAGTTGTAGACATAGCTATGAGGTTAACCTCAAGTTCAAGAACTTGAGATAACAATACATAATCACTCTACCTCTGGTGGAGAGACAATGTTAAAGAGCCTGTGAATGATATGACCTAGGACTGCATTATCCTTTGCAGGTCCCTGGATTTCTGATCCTTCAACAGGAGTCCATTCACCAATTAAATTCTATGTGAAAAAGAAAAAAATAACTTGATGCATAAGACAGTTGTCCACACACTTAGGACTTTGGTGATAAGTGCAGAAAAAATTGAAACCAGTGTAAAATCATTTCAATCTAAACTTAACCTTAAAATACAAAAAAGAGGCTATTTAAAAGTTTACATGGTTGACAAGATAAAAGCATTTGATACAAGTCTGTGCAGAGATCAACACTCAAACAACAAGAAAAAACAGAACTTTTAGGTTTCTTTGTCCTTCGAAACTAGTCTATAATTCAAGGTGGACTTCATTCCAGCCAAATTTGAAATTGCATATTAGCTTTGGTTGCTACCCACCTTGTACTCTAAAAAATCACCCTCATCCATCAAATCCTCTTTTTCTTTCTCAATTTCTTTCTGTTTGGAAAGTTCAGTACTGGACTCTTCTGTTGGCTGAAAAAAAGAACAAAGAATGCCATATTTATATTAGGTGTTTCAACTACGCTGTCCTGTAGTGCAGTTTAAGTAAAATACAACACATCTAGAGTGAAAAAAATGGCTTAACCTGATCCTCATAAATGGGAAGTCCTTCAAAGAACAGTGCTTTCCATTCTCTGAACATCTTGGGTGGAATGAGTCTGTGTCGGAAGATACAAAATTTAATTACATCATTCTAATTGTGCATACTGATGGAAATAAAAATGAACAGCAGATTATGGTATATTAAAACAATCATAAACTTTGTGTCAAATGAAACAGAGATTGTTGTGCTAAGTGCACACATTCAATAATAAACCAATCACAGTCGATCACAATTCACTCTAAGCACAAATAATGGTTTGTCCACTGTCTGGTAATTTTTGTTGAGAGAATGAAAATATTACTGTAATTTCTAAAACACTTAGACACTCCAATTTTGTACATATCTTATCCTTGCATTTCTGTACCTTACAGCAAATGTATAGCAAGATCTCCAAAGGAGATCACTATCTTTTGTAATAAAATTTATTGTCATATTACAGCAATATGACATGAATAAAAATTCTTCTCCAATTACGTTTCATCAACATGAGAACAACTCAAATCAACATTATATAAACATGTACCACACCTTGCACATTTTCAACCCCCTAAATACTATTTCCCTGTTTCATGCCAACAACAGTAACCAATTAATCTAAATTTTAAAAACACTTTAAAACTGTACAAATTTATTAAGACCTTGAAGGCTTATTAATTGGCAAAAAGAAAATTTCTATGCTTTCCTTTCAAGAGCATACAATGCATTCAAACTTACTTTTCAGTGAGTTCTCTATATTCTCCTATTTTACAAGAGAAGTCCACAATCTGTGACAAAACCTTTGAGAGAAAAACAGCCAAAAAACAAGGAAAGAAGAAATCAGAGGATTAAATAAAATATCAACTTACAGAGGTACCAGATAAGTAACTAATTTAAACAAAACAATTAAGTCTCCTCTTCATCAGCAACAGAAATGTTTTTCTTTCAGCCTCTCCATTCCTTGTATTGAATGTCAGTGTCACTAGCCAATTAACTTACATAAATTTGAATGGTGACAAAACAAGAAAACAAACCTTGTGGGTATACTAAATTACCGAACTGGTGAAGCACTATGAAGGGGACTTACCTCCCTGCAAATATTATAGTGCTTTTGATACTTTGCCTCTGCAATTTCTGCTTTTATTTTATCATTCAATTCCTGAGCTTTCCTTGTCTCCTCTGCATATTCTATTCTGGCCTGACGACATAATTCCTGTTGAAAAGTTTACTGTGATGTTACTTTAAAATCACAGAGTTTATGATCTCAACTTTTCTCATAATTAACTCAGATGAGCAAATGCATTTCCTGGGAATATAACTTCAACATAAGTACAATCAGAGCAGCATAAGGGAAGATACTGCATGTATATCACAATACTCAACAAGGCACATTTTGTGACAGCTTGCCATAAAATTTTCCAAAACTTAAGGAGTGGTTATTTACATGGGGTGTAAACCAAACCACCATTTTATGCAAGCAGTGGGCCTCAGGTATTGTGTATAAGAGGATTTATTTAATTTAAAAAAAAAGGTATTTCCATTGTTAGCTTTTGGTTCTCTTAATACTGTTCACAAAAATAAATATTCAGATGAAAGGTTTGGCTAAAGTGGAGATACTTTCAATTGGTATGTAGTGTTGTTAAACAATGGCTAAATTATTTGTAAATAACCAGCTCTTTAAAGTTAAATATGTTTAATCTGACATTGATGTTAGTTATAAACATAAGACTATTATGTACATAAGCGCTTACCGCTTCTCTTGTTAATGCATCATCAAAGTCTTTCAGTCTTCTCTCTGCATACTGTTTCTCTCTAAATATCCTTTTTTAGAAAAAAATACTTTCATCAAATATCTTTGATCATTGCGGGTCCAAATTTTAAAATAGCTGGATTCAATGTCAACTCAACAATAATTTGGACCAATCATTACCTACTATCACCAAGAATATTAACCAAAGGATAAATGCTTACCACCAAGAGCATTATTCAAAGACAGGTTACAACTTATTCCACGTGTACCCAACATACCTGTTTTGACGAATGACTTCTTTTTCATGGCGAATCTGTGGGTAGTTGAAGCAATTAAGTTAATAAAGTTTAATTTGATGGCATTCACACAAAAGTTTTTTATCTTGCTAATCTCATATTTTACAGCAAAATATTGAGAAGTTGTTGTAGCCAGTAAAGCATTACTGTAAGTTGAAATCTAAACCGTTATAATGCAGCATTTTGGGAAACAACAAAATACACCAATTGAAGAAAAGAAGTCCAATCAGTTATACCTGATCCAAAGAATCCATAGGTTCTCCTTATCAGAAGGAAAGTTAGACAGGACTTTTTGTATAAAAATTGCTCGTTGTGAAAGAGTATTTCATGGCCCAGCAACACATAATGATTTCTATTATCCAATACATGCTGTTATTTCAAAACAGTCCAATTTGTGTTACAGTTAGGGGAGAAAGAATGTTACCCAAGATTTAATTAGTTCCAACAAAATCCAAGTTTCATGTTATGACAATCACAGGAACTAGATTGCATTTTTAATAAGTCCATCACCTGCCGATTGCATTTACCAGAAATCCTGTTAATGTTATGTCAGCAGTTTTTACCACAGATTTTAAACTTTAATGCTGTTATGACCAACCCTTCACAGTCTAATGGAGCTTACATTGTAGGGTACATTGAAAATGAATTTACAAAACCATCAAATCAAATTTGCCATTCTAAACCAAGTCTTAAATGGCACTTGTCTGAGCATTGGGATGAAAAAATGTACACTTATGACACTCATACACAAGTTGTGACAAATGTTTTTGGTTTGAATAAGTCACTGTTATTAAGTATTGATAAAGATTGATACCAACAATTGAGAAATGTAGGCCTTAGTTAAAGTAACACCAATGCATAAGACTCAACCTGCATAAGTTGAACAGCAATCCTTCTCTCCTGCTGCGATTGTCTCATGAGTCTGTTCACAAGCATCTCTTCACGATGTGCTTCCTGAAAAATTGGCATAAGACTCACTGATGAATTACTTGTATGGAACCAATTATTCACGCAAATCATTCTACAATTTTTTGGTTATTATCTAATCCACATTTCCATGTGATAGAGATAAAATCCTAAATTTCTCTAAATATAATTATTATAATGTATCAATGAAATAAGTGTTTGGTGTTTGTTCAGCAATGAATCTTTCCAAAACAAAACGTTATTTAAGTATTAAGTGTTATATAAATGCTGCCTGAAAAAGGGGCACTGAGAAGTATTTTCTGATTTCAAAGCAAGAATTATATGAAACATTTCATCAATTACATATACTTTTGAATACTTCAATCAGATTTTGCCAGGGATGTTTAGCTACACTGTAACTGGACCACATTCTCTAAACATCAAACAATTAAGTTAAAGTAACAATGACATCAATTTAAAGCATTTAGAAGATATTTAGCTTCCTCTTTAATCTTACTTCTTGAGCCTCATGTGCCTTCATCTGTTCAATCAAGACTCTCCTTCTTCTCTTCTCTCTTTCCTAGAAAAGAGGATATGCTGGTTATTTTCTGGAACCCTGTAGTTATTGTGACTTCTTGTCACTCAACATGCAAGTTAAAAAAACAACAACAAGGAAACAGCTAAACAACTGGTAACAGCATGAAAAGGTCTTCCTGAGCTTCAGGCAAATTTCTTCTGGCTCTTTTGGACAGTTACTTATAAAATATATTAAAGTTCACATGACAACCAAGTGGACAATCAGACATGGTTTGATGCTACTCTAGTTTACACATTTAACAAATGTAACCGAAGAAGTTACAATTCATAGACCCAATGTTTCAACACTCCTGTCTAGTACCTTCATGAGGGGTGATCTAAACGCTGCAACAAGAGGTCCTTTTATACAATCACTAATTAGCTACCTTTTTTCTGACAAATTGTAAATAGGCATCAGGAAGTAAACCACCATCATCACAATTTAAAGGAGCGTGGGCAGAGTTAAAGCTTCCAAACAAAGGCACTGGTGGTAACGCCGATTAGTGGTGATAATTTTAGATTTATTCCACCCAATTGTATGGTTAGTTAGGCATGTGTGCTCCGATAGAGCTAAATTTCTTTTTTGCAAAAGAAAACTGCTTTTTGATGCTCTTTCAAATGTGTACAAAACTGATGTTTGGTCTGTCCAATGTATTCATTGTCACAGTCATTACAAGGAATAGAATAAATGGCGTCAGTTCGTTGTTCTTTTGTGACAGGATCTTTAGGTTTGGCAAAAATATGCCCCAAAGTCTGAAAAGGTTTTTGATGCTTTAATGTCATGGCTATTCAAAATTCTCTTGATGGGTTCTGTAACACCCTGAATATAAGGAATAACGGCAAAACCAGTCACTGGTTCCCTTTCATCAGGAGTGCTACTAGTTGTTACTGGTTTTTGGCAGTTACAGAGAAAAGGTTTTGTATAGCCATTTGCCTTTAAGACATCAGAGTCATATTTCCTCTCCTCACCCTTGAATTAAGAGAAGATGGTAGACAGTCAGCCCTCCTAAGTAAAGTTTTGGCTACAGACTTAGATAACATGTCGATGATGTTATTTCTGCGGTATGCGGAAATGTAAACAGTAAAGCTGTTTATCAAATTCACCCTTGAGCATGAAAATGATAGACATTTGCCGTTTCTTGATTTAAATATGTCCTGAGGGGTTCAGGGGAATTTAGAGAAAAGTGTCTATCATAAACCTACCCACACCAACAAATACCTCACTTTTGATTCTCACCACCCTATGCCATAAAAAGGCTGTAGGCAAAACTTTACTCAGGCTTACTTCCTGACGCCTATTTACACCTCATCAGAAAAAAGGCAGCTAATTAGTGATCGTATAAAAGGACCTCTTGTTGCAGCATTTAGATCACCCCTGATGAAGGCACTAGACAGGAGTGTCGAAACATTGGGTCTGAGTTGTAACTTCTCTAGTTACATTCATTAAATCTGTAAACCAGAGTAACATCAAACCATGTCCAGTTACTTATAATATACCATATAGCTACTATAATAATGATAATAACATCTTTTCACCTACAACATTATATGGCTTTAGAAATGCAATATTACCTTTCTAGCAACTGAGTTTTCCTCCAGTCTTGTCCTGATTTTATTGATGTAATCATCATTCGATCTGGGCTGAGTAGAAAAGAAATAGAAATGCAATCTATGAGATGGCCACAAGCAACAATTTATCAATTATTATTCCTTTAACCTGCATTTATTTTGTTAAAAGTTGACAAATAGACAATAGGGTAGGTAGGAAACGTTAAACTCAGAAAATCAATTTGGGAAGAAGAAGACCCCACTTTATATAAACACACTCTATTGAGTGGACACTAGCTGAGCCTGCAGGTAACAAATCTTTCCATCCATATTTACAGTAAAATAAATGTACATTCAGCAAAAGGAATACACGAAGTGCTTTGGTCACACAAAATAGTCCCTAAAAACATTAAGCTTCAAATTACAGATAAAGTCTACAATTTTTTTCTTTAAAAACATTTATTGGACAACATAATTGTGGGTCTCTTCATGGAAACAGCTGGATTTGAAAGTTTGTTAATTTATATAATCACTCACCCTGTTCTTCATCTATTCAGGGGTTAACAATTTACTCTGCAGTTCAATTTGTAAATCTGTTGTCTTATAATGGACATTGGCAATATTACTTTGGAAGTCTGTAGCTTAATACAGGTTTCATTGTCCTCTTAAACCTAACTGAGGTTAAATATTCAATCATAATCTTGGCTACCCTTATAATCAGTAACTTTACCCGTCTGTCTGAAGTGTTATTTACTTACTTTAATGTATGACAGCGGATCCACAGGCTTCTTGGGAGATTGGGTACCAAGGAATGTGTCAATTTCAGTGTCAATCTCTCGGTTAGATTCTCTGGATACAAAACAGCTCACAAGTTAACAAACTTTCAATGAACAGAATGTTTATAAAAACTATAACATTTTGATTCATTTTCAGTGGCTAACTTGATACATGTGGATGTCTTCTAGGCCATCTCATTTAATATTATTAAAATTGAATGACTGAACAAGCCATTTATAATGGTTCAAGCTTATTTAATGTCAGTCATCTATTTTTCCACACATCATGTACATTAGCGCTACCATATAAAAGTAGTTAGAGGTTGGCTTCTTCTTGTCCCTCAAAAGTTTGAAAAAGTGGGCAAAAGACACACCTAGATATCTCACTTAAAACTGACAGATAAATTGAGACTATAGCTTAACACAGTATTGACCTACCCCTCAAATCCTATTGGACTAGCTGGTGGAATAACAGCCCTCATACTTGCTTCAAATGCATCAATGCTTTCCTTTACCTCCTGAAAATTGTAACCATACAATTGTGCTTTTTATTTAATTTGAATTTCAGCATTCAACACAAGCACTCAATTCAAAGGAGTATTTGAATTACACCTTTTTCAGTTCAAGGTGACGGCTCACTTAAATGAATTATTACTCCTAAACCAGAAGAAGGTAAACAAATACAATGCAGGTTAAAGGAAGGGTTGGAGGGCTGATCAGAGAATCTATATCTAAGAGCAAATATCATGCAGTCAAACATGAAAGCAAGTCCTGAAGTGTCACCTTTAAACACAGATTTTTAATTGACAAATCAATTTTTGTTTTGATCTTCCATTTATTCATTTTTGCAACTCAAGCTTTTATACACTAAGATGCAAAATATTAAAGCAGGAAAGAAAAAGCATGCTTCATGGTTTCATTCAACAGGATCTGCATCAATATTGTATCTTCTTATGAAGAAGTTGTGGTGTGCCTTGATTTGTTCTTCTGTCGTAAGAATGTCTTTGTAAACGAGCAAAGAATGACAGTCAGAGTTTAAACCTTCATGAAAATTATCTTCATCTTGTTTTGAAAATTTCCCGCATACATAATTATTATAACTAATTCTTCTTGCACTAAAGTTGAGAAGCCTTCTCCCATTACACTAGAAGGAGAATTTATTACAGCATCTCCATTACTATCCATATTCCAGTGACAGCTGACAATTTTCCACTTTCCTCCTTTTGTTGGGTTTGCTTTTCTCTTAAATCCTGCTGAAGGTTTAACATCAATAGAAACAAATTTAAAATCAGGTTTTTTTGTAAATTGAATAATTTTGTGTTTTCTCCAACAACAGTGAATGGTACATCCAGCCCTGATCTTGGTATTGTTCCACCAGTGACAACTTCTCTATCTTTTTGAAGAGAAAGAAAAACATTTTGAATAAATCCATTTCCAATCAAGCAGTTTCTTGTATGTATTGATGTTCCATTTAAACTTCTCTTACATATCTTGATAACACTGACATTTAAGATTTTAAGATCATTGATCAAATGAAGGTCAAAACGCCTATTTTCATCAAAAAAGAAAAAGTTTCTTCAATTGTTTTTTGAAGTTGACATTTTTGGTGTGAGTGAAATTTTATTTCAGTGGTCATTTGGATTGGCAAGATTGATGATCTTTTCACTGTTCATATCTTTATCAGTTTCTTGAATTGATTCAACAGGATTGCTTGGGTCTGTGGAGAAACTAATTCTTTTTTTTTTTCAAATGAATGAATTCCTTTAGGAGGTCACTCATTTCCAAGAGGAACACACTGTAGCTCTTCTCTGACAAAACAACACTTTGGTCAATCCTTCGTGTAGTAAAAAACAGACTCGCCCTCAGAGACCAGATTGGATCTGTTGCTCTTCTTTGACCACCTTTCAGCTCACCAGCAGCATAGAGATATCTCACATTCTTTGAAGAGTCAAGTTTCTTTTTCTTTAGGCTAACTGGCCTTGAATAAGTTGTTGAACTCTTTGCATCAACCAACTTGTCTTTGATTGCATCAACAGGTTTCTTTCTAGTCAACCTGGTTATTCACTATTCAACTTCACTGTATTGGAAAGTGAAGAGACATTCACCCAAAGTTCAATTAAATTGCCCAACAATTCCCTGATCTCTGTGAAAGGTCATATTCCCTCTTCTTATCTTCACATCATGCTTTGTCAGCTCTCTTGACATCACCCATGAATTCATGCCCAAGATCAACCTGAAGAACTTTGGGCCATCTCAGTGGTCCATGCTCACAGATTGTCTGAAAAGCCTTTGAGACCTCAGAAAATTCTTTTGAGGTGATAGGTTCAGCAGCCTTGAATCTGCTTGCAAAATCAACAACAGTCAATGCATACCTGTAGAATTTCCACAACCTTGCAGTCACTTTGTCATGAGGGAGGAAAAGAAAATCAGCTTGACAAGTTGCATTTGGAGATTTGACATCAAAAGTTTGTCTCAGGATATGCTTCAGGGCTGGCAAATAAATCTGCCAGATGGCTTGCTTCATCAGCCAAAGCTTTGCAACCTCCTCAGACACTCTGGCTTCTTTAGCCAGCTTCTCACAGCTGGCAATCCCTTCCAGAAGCCTTTAGGGCTATAATAAACTCTTAAAAGTTTTCTTTCCATTTTATCATAGTTCACAAGAAATGACTAGTAACCAATCAATGCCATTCCTCAGCATAGATCATTTCACCTTGCTTTTGTTGAACATTTGGCTGGTAGAAGTCAGAAAGTTGTGGTTCTCTCAGATCAAGCTCTTGATTATACCCCTTGTTGTACAGCATCAAAGCATAATCTGTGTCCACCAAACTCTGTTTTGCCTGCTCCTTGACTCTGTCATTAGTTGCAATCCAATCAAGGAGCTAGTTTAATTTTATTGATACTTTTCATAAGCTGCTTGGTACTTCTCCACAGCAAGATCGTGTCTCTTCTTTTCTTAAACACTGTTCTAGTCTCCACTCAAATACTTTGCAAGATAGCTTCCACAAACAAATGCAGTTGCATTGATCAGCACTCTTCCAATCATTATTGCTATGCTTGCCATTTTATTTATCTTCAACATCATTTTTTGAAAATTGACAACAAGTATTCATCATGAAACTTTAGACAAAGTTCTGCCTCTGTCTTGTTGATATAGAATATCATATATAATAGGCAGTCTCAATGATTGTGTAGACTGCTGCTAACTTAATTGCATTCATTCAAATTGGCTGAACATTTTTAAGATGGCAAAATCTTTTGTTCTTCGAGATACCATTTTGCCGCGATTGATGCAGTGATTATGATGGTGACCCTTACATTGTTTGTGAGATTTTAATTCAGATCAGAGGTCATTAGTTCTTCTCTTTGCAACTCATCTGATTCCAGTAGCAAATCCAGTCAAAGTGGCTGAATTGGTCAATGTCTTCATAAGCTTATTATCAGACATTTTATTTGGTAATCAGAAAAAAATCAATCCATCGACTTTACTCTCACAGGAATTTGACTTTGTGTGTTTTGCTATGTTTTACTTTGCTGTGCTTGAGCCTGTGGCTGTGGTTCATTAACGAGTGCCATCAACTCTTTTCTTTTTATAGTACAGTCCAGCCAGTGAGAGAATGACACTTGCCACTGAAAGAATTTGAGTGAGTGAGAATGATGATGTTTCTGGATCTGGTTCTGGTTATAATCCTGCCCCTTTGGCATCTGGATCCTTTGGATCTTTGGATTGCTTTAAACCTCCTCTCTTCCTCATTTTCTCTCTCACTCTTCGGTTATGTTCAGCATTTTTTGCCAACTGTGACACGCCCCGGGTCTTTATTTGGTCTCCTCTTATTTTTGTCAGTTTAAGTCACCTGTTAAGCCACTATGAGGCCTGGCGGAAAGTATTTACAAAGTATAAAGTATAAAATTATAAAGTATAAAGTACTTACACAAGTTCTTATTTAATAAGTACTTTAATAAGAACTTGATCAGTTTCTTCAAAAATACAATCTATTTCCTTATTATTGACCAAAGGTACTTCAACATTTTTGACAGTGGGAAAGCACTTGTGACTGCCTTTCATACTTCAGACTCAATCCACTGGCAATCATTCTAAGTTCTCTCTTTAGCATGAAGTTATCAGTCAAGTCCTTCAGAAGTTTTCCTTCATCAACAAGGAAAAAATGAGCTGATGTTTAACATGAGAGAGAAATGTATCAATCATTGCATCACAAGTCTTTGAAGACAAAGAAGCTTCATATCTCTTGAAGTATTTCTCAACATCTTGTTCATCTTGATGTTCAGAACATCATTAACAGTATCTTTTTCATTGTCAGACATCTCCATTTTATTTAAGAAATATTTTCATGAAAGTTCAAGATCAATTCAATAAGGATGGTGAAGTGAGGATATGAGATGTGAATACTTACCACTTTTTAGCATCGCTATTAATTGCCTAATCCTTGAAAATGATCTTCCTATCCTTGGCAGATGGTGTGTAGAAGAGAACTAGTGCAGCAGTGGTCTCTCTGAATGGTTTTGCAATGCTTGTTATCTGTTGTGTGAGAACCTACACATTGATTTCTTTATGTCTTGTGCAGAATGCTAAATTCATGAGTTCATTCGTCCTCTGCTTCTCTCCTCTGCATCTCTCAAAGCAGCACAATCATCAAGAATGATCATTTTCCTCATTTGCGTGTTTCCACTGAATAAGGAATCCTTTTGGTCTTCATGAGTTACATTCTTCTATATTACAGCCTTCTTAGTCCCTCAACACTTTTTCTCCTCTTTTCCCTCAAACATGTGTCTAATCCTTGAAAATTATCTTCCTATCCTTGTCAGATGGTGTGTAGAAGAGAAGTAGTGCAGCAGTGTTCTCTCTGAATGGTTTTGCAATGCTTGTTATCTGTTGTGTGAGAACCTAAATGTTGATTTCTTTATGTCTTGTGCAGAATGCTAACTTGATGAGTTTATTTGTCCTCTGCTTCTCTCCTCTGCATCTCTCAAAGCAGCACAATCATCAAGAATGATCATTTTCCTCATTTGCATGTTTCCAAAGAATAAGCAATCCTTTTGGTCTTCATGGGTTACATTCTTCTATATTACAGTCTTCTTAGTCCCTTGACACTTTTTCTCCTCTTTTCCCTCAAACATCTTGTAACTGTAGAGTTTTGTTCTCAATCCAACAAGCTCTTCAATGATCTTTCCACCACCTTCATCCTTCATCATTCCCATGAACTTCTTTTTTTTTCCAGTTGGGATCCCTGTCGTATGATCTTCAGGGTAATCACTTATGTCAACTTATCTCCTACATCTCCACTTATGTCCCTGTAGAAATCTTCAGTTTCAATGTCATACATCAAACTGTCAGCATCTGTAAAGAGAAGCTTTGCACAATCTCTATACTTCTTCTAGGTGTAGTTATAGTGGAAGTCATAGATCAGAGTCTTGCTGTTATCGAGGATGCTCATTCTGCAATATACTGACTTACCAAACACCAGCTTAGTTCACTTCATGTGGATGGCAACAAGGTTTTCATTGAATATCATCCAATGCTTGAAGTTTGGTTTTGCTGTAAGTTTCAATGCTTTCTTGCATTTTTGACTAATCTGACACCCACACCATTCCTGATGTTTTCCATAGTTTTTCCAAAGACCACATTGTTCATCAACTTGAAAAACACAAGGTAAGGGATGTATTTTGTTGGTTTTGTTTCCTCACAAGCTTCACCCATATATTCGTTGTTTGCCTGTGCAAAATAATTTGAGATCATGGAGATTCCTCCACAAATTCCTATTTCAATCAGCAGCAGCATGCCAGGGTCACTCAATAGCTCAAGCTCAACATTTGTCACCTTTAATCTAGCATCCCAAGCCAATCCAGGAGCCATGTAATACCAGGCAGGGTCGAGCCCATAATTCTCATGACAGACATTTCTGAACTCTTCAAACACATCTGCAAGCAGGAGTAGGTCTGTCTTAAGATAAAGGTCATGGTAATCACCCATCATCTTCATTTTGAACTCTTTCCAGGTCTTCTGTGCATGCTCATAGTCTTCAGAGATATCACAGTCATTCAGCTTAGAGTAGAGCTTATCTTTAGGTGGTCACCTTTGGTCAAAGTTTTTGATACTATCCATGTAGTTATATGGATAAACCCCCTTTCTTGATATCAACTCAATTGCAGCTATGCTGTCTGACCCTCCAGAGCTTTTGTCCTGCTGTGCAACGGCATGGCTGACTGCTTACCCCTACAGGCCCTGGCTAAAGGCTTACCCCTGCAAGCCCTGGCTGAAGGCTTTTAAGACCTTCTTGGTTTGTCTTGGATTACCTTGACTAAAATTACTAATTTTTCAAGGAATGAAGGCATGCACCTGAAGCTGTTGATAAAGCAAAGCTCAATCTCGACTTCAGCTTCTTTATCTTCTTTGTTGATGTACGGGCCAGCAACGACTTCTTTACCAAAGCTGATGTACTTTTCTTTGTTCTTGGGAATGCATTTGATGTTTCCCTTGCTTTTACAGCCTGCCCAAAGGTTTGCTCAGATTCTTAATGAATAGATGAGAGTCATAACCAGTCAATTTGTTAATAATGACAGGAATGAGCTTCAGCTTCTTGAATTGTAGGTTGCATTTGTAGTAAGCTGCTCTGCGACACTTCCCTGTGAAATGGCAGTGGTCTCTCAGTTTGCCTTCATTAAGTGCAGATCCAGCTGTGTGTTGCATCATTGAACTCACACCTTTCTTCATCTGTGAAGTTCATCTTCTTGGCAAAGTCGAATTCCTTATAAATCTTCTTGATTTTCTCCTCAAGCATTTCAACAAAGATCTGACCAATATCTTCATCCTTGCTCTTTACCCTATAGATAACTGGCGCTTGTGAATAAAGCTTACTATCAAAGAAAACAATGTGATAGCTGATCCCACCTGGTTTCTGCTTTTGATACTGATTAGTGAAGTTCTTATTACTGCTTAGCTCACAATTATTCATTGACTTAGTAGAAGAATCAAACTCAACATAAACCACAAAGTTTACTCCTACTGAGCGGTTATGATTCTTTAATTTGATTACACTACCCTCATGTGGCATCTCAATCCTGTCTGCCTCCTTCCTTGAGAAATACTCTTTATGGAGTGCATGCTTTTCTTTGCTTGAGAAGTGATTCAGACACCTGAGACAATATTGTTGTGCTTTGAGGTTTGACACGATAGTCTGCTCGTGTTGTTTATCAGGCAGTAGTGTTTCTTTTCATCATCTGCTATCAGAAGGTTGGTGACATGCTCCTTTTTATTCTGCCACTCTGCAGCCTTGCCAAAGGCTTGCCCCATTGAGGCCCAGCCAAAGGCTTACTTCCTTATCCTCATTGGATAAAAATCAAGCCTTCAGCCAGGCCTCAAAGAAGCTTGTTCATTACCAAGCACGTTTACCGCAATGTTTTCTTCTTTCATTATGCAGCTTCCTAGGGAAGTTGATGCCACTCCAGTCAAGCTTCTCAGATTATGCTTTGAGAATCTTTGTGATCCTTTGAAGGTCTTTTTCAACTGTAAGCGCTCTTGTTATCAACCACTTGAAACAATGATTATCTGCATTTTTAATATTTACAACTGCTCTCTTACTTTTAATGAATTCTAGGAGTTCACCATAAGAGCTGCTGTATAATGGTCTGTATTCTGTAAGATGTATGTCTAAAGATGTCACCCTTTGAAATTTTCATTTGCTTCCTCTATGACCAAAATTCTGAATTCTCTCTTGGATAGCATTCATTGAACTGTTACTTTCTTCAGATTTGTCTTTTGCTTCAAGTTTTCTATTACAGTGCTTTGGAAATAAGGATTGAGAAGTTTTACTCCTTTGGGGCCCAGCCAGAGGCCTACATTATATTCTTATGAAATAATTCATTTCTAACCATCTCACAATTCAAAATTATCATAACTTTGAGAATATTTTCAATGAAGAATTTCCTACTGTCAGGCCATCATAGCTTATGAATGGGCAGACTGGTTTTTTGCTTGAATTAGATGGTTTTTGTGATACACTAAAATTAGCTTTTGAGTTTGGTGGGATTCAACATTATGAATATCCAAAACATTTCACCAAACATACAAGCAATCAATGAGAGCATCATGTTCCAAGGAGGTAAATGAAGGAACTTCTTCTTATTTTAAAGAGCCATATGTCACTCTTGCTAGAAACAGTGAGAGGATATTTAATCCTGACATCAAGAGTATGAGAGACAGTGAGCTTCATGGAAGTGGATTGAAATTGGTAAATATGAAAGAAGGACTTCAGCTTGCAATCAACAGGAAAGTATCAGGTTTAGGGAATATTAAATGTCATATCTTCATCCCCTTAGATGCTCAGCTCAACATCATCAACCCTGAGCTTGAAAGTGTGACTTATTGATGAAACTGTCATACTCTTCTCATTTACAAAGGCACTCTTTTGACAGAAGAACAAATCAAGGCACACCACAACTTCTTTGTGAGAAGATACAACATTCATTGAAAATCTTCACACACAAAAAAAACACCCTGATCAATGGCATGACAAGAGAATCATTCAAGAGAATTGTTCAAGATGATAATATTTACACTCTCATCAGAAATCATGAGTGAGACACTGTGAATATCATTCACCTGTGAAAAATTCAAGTTTTCTTGAAATCAAGGTTGTCTCCAAAATGTGGAAAGCCGTTTTTTGAAATCAAGGTTGATTGAAATTAAGGTTAAATTCATGAGTTGACTTAAAATCAAGGTTGTTTTCAAAACACACCAGAATCCCCCTTTCATTCAACTATCTATAAAATACAATTCAAAGAACAAATGAGCTGAAAAGAAATTTTTTTCCCTATGTGGCCTTGCTTCAGTACAAAAGTCAATCCAAACCTATCACCTCTGCTTCCCTTTGACGTCTGATTTCAGTCCGAGATTTTGCCGTTTTCTGCAATGGTAAGGTAAAACATTCAGTTTATGACAAACTTGACTACTCACTTAATAAACAGGTATAGAAGGATACAGGAAGTTCAACTGCGTGTACTTGCAGCTTCTATTCCATATCTATTGTTTACACTGAAAGAATCCTCAAACAATGTAAGACAATGGAACAAAAGATATTAAGTGACACAATATATTAACTTATAATACAGGTGTTGACAAGGATCATAAGTAATCATCTACCAAGCATCCTTAATGCCTATTATATCAATAAGGATTTCAATTTGTGCACAATTCAGCTAATCACAGAGTCAGGGTGCAACAGTATCTGGCAGTTTCCCCTAAACTTAAAACACTTATCTCCTTACTGTTAGTGATAGTTTCTTCAAAAAATAAATCATCTCCATTCTATAGCCCTATATTTTCAACACTCAGGAAAGGATTGACAACCTTTTTTCTTTAGGTACCTCAATGCAACACCTATATTAACAAAGTCCACTGAACAATAACAGGGATCAACTTGAACATTTCAAACATTATCTAATTTGTAAGTTATAACAGCTCTGTTAACTTCACCTTGGAATCAGGAGGTTTGGGAATCCTCACTGTTGCATCCCTGAAGAAGAAAAAAAAGAACACATTAACACACACAAGTGAATAGTGCTTTTCACGTGCACCAATTGGCTAGTGTGGGAGTAAATAGGAAGTACTATATCCTCTCTGAGTAGCTGATGAGACCAAATTGTGTGACAAGAGTTTAATTTCTGACCATTTTTTGGTATATTGAGAGAAATAAACTATTTTTGGTGTTATTATTCAGGTCAGTGTCATCAAAAGTGGTGGATATTTACTGAGCTGCAAAGCAGCAAGGTAAATGTCCACCACTACTCACCTCCACTTTGGTTAATAATTGTTAATCAATGATGACATAGTAATTGTTAATTAATGGATGACATATAACAATTATTGATTGTTGAGTTTTTGGTGGAAAGCCCATAGTCTTGGCTTTTTACCATTACAGGTAACCAGAGAGCATGAAAAACGTTTTGCTTATTTGGTTATAAATTGTTTCCTGTGCCAGGTGGGTATTGGTGAAGACTGCTGATTGTGACATACAGATCTAGAGGATTTTTGGGCTACCACTTTTTCCACCTTAATTTTGATAATAATACCTCTAAATCAAGTTACAAATTGAAAAAAGATATTAGGCAAATCCTTTGTCAAAAAAAAGGAAAAAAATTGGTTTGTGCTCTCTGGCAACCATAGACTTAAAATCATCAAGTGAAGAAAGTTAGCTGGCTAAAACCTGAGATCAACTTCCAAGATATTGAATCTTTATAGTGGCACAAAACTGTCCCAATCCCTATGCAGCCACAATATGATAAATGGCTTGAGTTCTTATCTTTGTGTTGAAATCCAGCAGTTACAGGTTAGTTCTAAAGTGGCTGGGTTTGCTTCTGATTACCTTATTTTACCCATCACCTCCAACTGCTTTTGTTTGGCTTGTTTTGACTAAAAGAAATAAATCAGAAAGTAAAATAAAACTTACTCTCCTAGCAGCTTGTAGCACTTTTAACAAAATAGACAGCACTTCTAAAAAGGGTGACTCACCCCCAGTCCATGGACTACTCAGTTTGTGCTCTTAAGTTCACTTTCTTTTCATACAATAACTTCTCATGTTGCTGCTTTTCCAAACTTAACAGTTCCAAACTTAACATCAACATCACATAGATAAGCAGAAATTATAACTACTTCTCACTTTCATTTCCTAAGCTACTCTAACACAACTACGATAAGTGTTTTTAATATCAAAGCTCTGAAAGTTGACTGAAGTTTGCTCTTTTTAATGGCCTTGAGTCTATTGTATCTATTTCTTAGTTTTTAAATTCTTTCCAAACAGATGGAATATTAAGTAGAATTGCTTAACTACAAAGAGACACCCTTTTATAACCTTATTCAAATATCAAAATTTGTGTAATAATAGTCTTTCACTTAAGCAAGTACATTGTGAAGCTTTTTCCATTACGAAGTTGAGTATGCTAGAGTTCATGTTGGTTGTTGACATGAACTAAAAAAAAGTTACTGTGGAACCAAACGCTGTCTAATCCTTGATGTCCGTAGCAAGTTTGCTTGAAGCAGGTCTGTATGTGCCAGGAAACCATGACCATTCCATTCCTGCTGCAAGTGGTCTCCACCAAGCTATTTTCCCCCATTATTGTTGCATTCCCCCCAAAAGTTGAATTAGTGTGAAAAACCTATTGTCACAGTTATCTTAAGAAGGTCAATTACAGTAATAGCAGCCTTCCATGTTACCTTGTCCAAACCTTGTCGTCTTTGTCCTTGTAGGTACTTTCTCATTCTTTCTTCTTCCTCAAACCTAAAAGTTGAAATTTTATCTTAAACAATGAATATCAATGAACAAAAGTTAATGTGGGGATAAAGTATTTGAATGATGCAGTAGCCTCTATTTCACTATAAAATATGCTAAAATATTTTACTTTAGACCTTATCTGTTTCTTAAAGCTTGCAGTTTTCCTTGAGTTTCAAACTTAGAACAGCTGTATGTTGCCTATTATCCAAGCATACTTTTGCATCAAATGGTTACTGTGTGTCTAATTTTATACGATTGGTTATCAGTGTCACAACATACTTTGCTTTAAATGCCAAATCCTCCTGCTGTTTCTGTTTGGCTTGGTATCTCTGAACTAGTTGCTCAAAATTCAAATCCACTTGACGTTTGGTTAGCTGCTTCAGTCGCTAAAGTGAAGAACAACAGTCAAAACTCCTTAAGGATAACATTCTTAATTCCGATGGCATACTGCAAACTCAATGGCCTAATGTTATAACTACTCAGTTGCCTGTACCATCATTACTTTCAAAATAATGACAAGTGCAAAACCTCTCTTAAGAAAATGAGTTTAATTTCCATGAGTGACCCAGTGACCCTTTTTTCTCTCATAACAAGGCTTTGCTTGTTTTTATAAAGAGGCCTCGGTTCTCTCTGAAATACATGGCCCTTTTCTTATAGCTAATACTTTACAACATTAATAACTAGAAAGTCACAAATTAGGAACTGTCCATTTCCCATATACTGAACCAGAGGCTTGTCACCTAAGCTTCTGATTGGACTCAGTATTACACCTACTGAGTTACTAGACAGTGCCCACCATCAATCATAGGACACAAAAATGCACCACTGTCATCAACAATGTAATGATCATTATTTCATATTTAGTCCTTAAAAAAGAAAAAGGTTCCAACCATTAATATAGTCTAGCTAAAGAAAATGATCCAACTGGTTACAGTTATTCAACCAATTAAAATAGTCAAACCAGTTAAGATGGTCAAACTGGTTTAACGGTCTAAATAAACAGAAACTTTCAGCCACTTGAAATGGTCTAACCACTTAAAATTGTCTTGCAAGATAAAATGGTTCAACTTCTGCAAATGATCTGATTGGTTTAAGTGGTAAAAATTTGGGAAAATGGTCCAACTGCAGAATGGTCTGAAGTCAAAAATTGGTCCAACTTGTTAAAAAAGTCCATTTGGCTGAAATGGTCTGAAGAGATAAAATGGTCTAATTAGGTAAAGTGTTCCATTTGGTTAACATAGTTCCTTTGATAAACTAGTCTAACTGCTAACTGACCAGATCCAAGTGGCCCAGCTAAATATTCCAGGTGCTTAAAATGGTCCAACCAGTTAAGAGGATACTACCACATTTAATGATTAAACTGGTTACAATGATTTAAAGAATTAACGAAGCAAAATTGGAAAAAAGGTCCAACTGGTGAAAGTGGTCAACTTGGTTAAAATGGTCTAGCAAGATATAATAATCCTACTGGTAGGAATGGTCTTACTCAGTCCAACTAAATGGTCTACCAACTTAAAAGGATCAAACCAATTAAAATTATGCGATCCATTAAAATATTTCAAATGGATAAAAAAGTCAGAATAAAGAAAAAATCCAAACTGGAAAAAGGGCACAACTGATGGTAAAAATGGTTAGGTCTAAATGGATAAGATGATCCAACTAACTAAAATGGTCCAAAATGGCCTTGCTTGATGAAAAAAGGTCCAAGTGATGGGAAAGGTCTAACAAAGTCCAAATGGTCATACTGATTAAAATCATTCAACCAGTTTAAAGGATCAAACCACTTAAAATGATGTATAAAATGGTCCAACTTGTAGAAATGGTCTGACTATATAAAATGGTCAAACTGGTAGCTAATGTTCTGACTAGTTAAAATGTTCCAACTGCTTAAAATGGTCTAACTAGAGAAAATGGTCCAGTAGGTAGACATTGTTTAACTTTATAATATGGTCCACCTTGGAGCAAATAGTTTTACTAGAGAACATGGTTAGGAAGAATATGGTTAAAATACATAGAGTTCATAGAGTTGAACCTACATGTTCACACTTAGGGTATGAAAGACTGACTGTTATGCTTTTAACATCTGATGTATATCTGGAAGGAGATAACTGAGGGCAATTGAGTTTCCTTCATTAAGTTTAACAACATGCAAAAGTATATTAAATTTTTAAAAATGGAGTATGATTTTAATCATTTTCCTTCTTCTAATTATTAAGTCAACTGATGGAGACCAAAGTTAGAGTACCCATAATTCCCAAGCTACATAAAAATTGTCAAACTCATGAAATTTTTTGGGCAAGGGGGGGGAGGGGAGGAATGATGTATGTAGCTGATGCAAACTCTTCAGGTCAAGCAGAAATTTTCTTCTCAGTCATGTCTATATTAGTATGATTTCCTGGAAAAGTTCACCTTTAACAAGTTGTAGTTTTGCTTGGTAATAAAACTGGGTAAGTATCACCTTCCAAGACATGTTTAAAAACAGCACCTTCAGTTTGTAAAAAAGGAAGACATCATGGGAAAACTTACCAGCAGTAAACTTAAAGAGGCTCCATAAGGTTTTTGACCATGCAAGATCTGACTACACATATGGTACAAGCTTTAAAAAATCTCAACATACAAAACAATACAGCTTTTATCTAATGAAATCTAGGGTTTCCAGCAACTATACCCATGACATCCATTCACCCTCTATGCCTGAAAAAAAGAGGTCAACAGAAAAGAAACCACCAGGGGAAAGATTGCAAAATGGCAACGGATTCAAAATTTTATGCATGCTATGGGGATATTGGTGTAACCATCTAGATGACTTTAGGCTTTTTATACTTTCAAAATATCAGATAATATAATTTCCAATATGTGGCAAAGAATGAAGATGATTCACAGTGGGAAAGTAGAGAAATTGACACCCAAAACAGAGGCCTTATTATGTCATTAGCCAAACTGGTAAATATCTTGAGGGAAGACTTTGAGAGAAATTAACTTTGTTTCATTTTGTAAATCTAGCTCTGAAGGGAGATTTATTTGAAAATACCCTAAGGAGCCAATTTATTATTCAATAATGTAATACAAAAATGTGAGAGGTTTCTAAGATTTTCCCTTTACAATTCTGTGACTTGCTTTTGATTTTGTTTTTTCCGTTGTAAATTTTTCCTTAAGCATATAGGTGGCAAACCTTTTCCAGTTTAAAATCAATACGATATCTAATTGGCTCAACATCAGCTTTGAGGTCTTTGCTTTAAAATCAAAAATTATTTAACTCATAATGTACCTGGGTAATACTGACAGTAACTATTTTGCACTTCATTTTTTAGCCTAAGATACACTTGCATAATTAAATCAAAATCGGCTCAAACTTAAAAGAACAACGACCTACTAAATGGCTGCCACAGTCGTAAGTTTTTGATTCCCCTGACTTTTCCCTGACAAACATAAAATTTTCCCAACTGGATGAATCAATAATAATTTAACAAACAAGTTCTGATAATGGCCTTCAACCATGCTCTCCACCCATAAACGTATGCTTTCAACAAGTCACATACTTTGTATATGAATTGATTTTGGAAATGATTTTCTTGAAGACCCAACATCAGCTTGTCATTTAGTTTCATCACACATCATTCTACTGATCCAACACCTTTCATGTCCATGAAATTTACTAAAGAATCTGACTCAAAGTGAAATTCCCTTAGTTTACCCTGACCTTAAAGAAGTTTACAGATCTGTGGAAACCATCTATTAAAGTGTGCTATTTTCATTTATTAACTTCAAAGACTTTTAAATTTATGGCTTCTCCTTTTAAAATTTACATATATATTTGAAAAAAAATTATAATCACTATTACCACAACATATATGTTCCAAAAATTTGAGCACTATGAGCTACTGGTAATACAGAAAGCAAATAAAATAACACTCAACTAATGGTCGTCTCAAACACATTTTTGAGAACTTGGATTATATCATCAAGATCATTTATAAATTGCATAACTACTCGAGAAGTGGATAAGACATCTTTCATTATATTCCTAGCAAATTTTTTTAAAGTTCTATCTTGTCCAAGTTCACAAACTTGGGCAACAACTGTTCTCATGTCATGAACAACTTCAAAAGAAATTTCCTGCAAATCCTTCACAAGATCAACTGCCAAGTTACTTATTTGATCACGGATTGCTTCAATTGCAACTTCATGCACAAAGCTTTTGACAGCTGAGTGAAGAAGGTCTCTAGCTATGGCCACACTGTCTTGTTTCAAGGTAATTTTCTGAGGTAAACAGACAAAGAATGTGTTGGTTGTGTGTAATTTGGTAAATTTTACTTAATATTGAAACATACCTAGATAACAGTTCTTCATGAAAGATTGACAGATACCTTTTGATGGCTATTATTAAATAGTATATTTTAACTGAATGGATGGTGCAGTCAACAAATGGATTCCATGTTTCCGACATCTGCTCAGTAGTAAAATCACAAATGATGTCAAAATGTGGTAAGAACAAAAAAGTGGCACATGAGGCTCAGCCAAGCATGTCACTGAATCAGATGTTCTTACCACATTTTGACATCTTCCATAATCTATTATATGGTACAGTCCTACTACAACATGGAATCAATTTGGTCTATGAGATCAAAAGCCAAAATGTTATTCATGGTGACATCTTCTATACATCAGTGTCCTCCAGTAGATTATATGTAATTAACAACCAATCAAAATTAGAGCAAAATTCAACTTTCATATAATCTATGATATCAGTTATGAACAAGATGATAGATGATGCACTGTGTTATTGGTAGACTATTATGACATACAAAGAAATCATTGTGCACAAGTAACAATTTATTTCAACTAAGAATTTTAGAATCATTATACTCGATTTTTGTAAATTTTAGGTATTTCTAAAACACAAACTAAAATAGGACTTGCACCTTTCATTAATACTTCATAAAATGCAAAATGTCATAAGACTCTCTGCCATCAGGACCAAGGTCAAAACTAATTACATTCAATTATTTGCTGAGTTCTACATTTATAGTATGATCATAATGGTTACATGCTAATCAAGACAACTGTACAATAGTAAGGATAATAGCTGTCTGCTGGGTTGCTATCAGAAGCTGGTAGGCAACAGAAACCTGAGTTAGCTGTCAGACCATTTTTCACCAGCTACTTTGTGCACCAGAAATTATGTAATAGTGAGGTTTGTCATGTACAGAAATCTCATTTTGTTTTGGTTTTTTTTTTCGGAAATTTGAGGCTAACTTTTAATTAGTGATTATCTAATGTGTTATCCTGATTTGTCTAATGTAAGTACATGACTTGGCAAAGCACTAAACAATCACATTTTACTTGCACCTTTATTGAAATAAATGATCCACCAAAAAAGTGATCTCTACACAAGTACTTCTCAAGTCAAACAGAGAAAATGAAATGTAACTTAAAAAAGAGCCACCAAGGTAAGAGGCAGTTTTAACCGAAGTCAAGCATTAATAATTACAAAGCTCACCACAGCATTTATACCATAAAAAAGACTTGTTTAAATACAGTAGCAAATGATCACTGTAAATATCCATGGTTTATGTGAGATAAAGCAAACATAAATACAAGGAACCAAACCTGCAGTCAACCAACACTTAACTCATAACAAGACAGAATAGAATTCAGTTCATCTAAGTTCTTCCACAATTAAAAGTATATATCACAATGTTAGTGGTATACTTATCACTTTCTAATATTAGCTTGGTAGGACTTCTCACAAAAGAATATTGCATTGTATATGCGTCCTCCTTGAAGTGAGAGCAGAGGGACTCTATTAAGTTATCTCTTAGCTAATAATTATGAAGAGCTATGGACCAACTTTCAATACCACTGTTAAATTTATATTGTACATGATTCTTATGACTGATGGTACTAACCTCTTTGTAAAGTCCACTTTCAATACTTTCCAGCTTCACTGGGCCACTGGGTCTCATGGTTTCCATAGCAACTCCTGTTAGTCCCATTTTCTTATATATATTATAAAGAAACAAAATAAAATAACAGTTAATGACAAGAGACAAAAATCCTAGGCAAAAATTATTTATTTCCAATCTTCAAAGTTAGTTTCATATAGATGATTTATTTTTTTCAAAACTAAAGTTTACCATTTAACTGCCTCATAAATTGCAACTTTGACCAATATGTAAGAAAAGATGCATGTAGATATTCAGTACCACCTGAGATATTATCATTTTGCAGGTTACTTGATACTACAAATGACACCTCACACATGAGGCCTAGATATATCTAAGGGTCCAATCTAGAAGTAATCATGAGTAACCACAAGCTGCCATGGGTGTCACCTGACCACCAGGCATCCACCAGATTCAAAGTGAAATTCATTTCATTAACCCTTTACACCCTAACATCAGTATGCATATTCTCCACACTGTTCTCTGTACATTTCCTAAGGTGCTGACAAGGAGAATTTTTTAAACAGTCAAGGTTTCTTTAGTTGGTGATCATTTGCTTTACTCTTCTGACGTTAATGTGCAATTACGGGGTGATATCATAAGGGGAAATTAGATGCTAGAAACTCCTATGAGGGGTGAAAGGGTTAAAAAATTCTGTTCAGATTCCTTTATGGGAGCAAAGAACTCATCAATATTTAGCTTGTCCCCAACATGTGGCTAGTAACTAAGTTGGTAAAAAATACAAAATAGAACAACAAGACAGGGTTGCAGTTAAGAAGTTAGGCTGCCAGCTGAAATTTCATGTGAGGCGGCTTAAAAGATGGTACCTTAACAGAGGCACTACTGCTGGTTCACAACATTTTGAATGGTGGATGCAAGAAAGGGAGAGAAATCACTATAAACAAATGCTAAAAACAATGTTTAATTTCATCTTTTTTACTTGTGGTAGTGCCACTAATACTCAGGTCAGTCAGAAAAATATAAAAATATTTCCTCTGAGGTGATAGCATTCAATATCAAATGATTTTAAGTATGTAACTTCAGAAGTGACTGTTGTGCTTTAATGAGCAATTGCCAGCCAAAAATTTAGTCTACTGCCATGCACTGCTTTTTTATCTGACTGGCAAATTTCACTGGCAGTAGGCACTTAGTGACAACCCTGTTGATACTAGTGGCACAACTAATTACACTCACAGATTTCTTTCCAAGTGCTATAAAGAGCTGGTACATCAGTCTTGTGATAGCACTGTGATTCTCACTCATGATAGCTTGTGCCTGAAGAAAACAAAGGGCTTCAGTTAGATAACAATGGTGGACCATATCAAAGGCTGCTAGAAAGTTGTATCACTAAAATTGGCACATTGACCATTCTAAGTTTACATTACATTGTGCTTCTCTTTTTATGTGTAATTCATTGGTTATAAAAAAAATAGTGCTTTTGTGTGATATAACTTGTGTGGTTTATATCATATACGAAATAGTATATCAAGTTCGAAACTCAAACTACTGTAGGTTTCAATAACTTTGTTTTCTTTGTTTCAACAGGACAAGTTGCTATAATGTTTAGAATATTAGAAAGATAAATATTATCAATTTATTTCAAGCAAATGAAAACATGAAAGTTACTTACCACATTTGTATCGAAGGGAACTTCCAACAACTTTAAGGTTGGTTCCAGCCGTGTGAAATTATGAAGTTTTGAGTCAGAAGTGCTTAAAAATGTTAACATGAAATTAGTTACAACACTATTTTATTAATATAAAGTTTAAGTGTACTGTAAAAAGGTGTCAAACTTAATGATTCATCACTGATAGATGAAGATGCAGACAGAAAATAAAGATTACTTGAGAGAACAGCCTATCTGTATAAAATATGTGCATTAGGCCTTCCCTAAACATTACTAGGCACTAAGAAAATGTTGTTCAAAATTCAGGCATACTATTAGTATCTATTATATATTTAAATCGATACATTCTGTATTACCTAATTTTCATATCAACGTCAAATCAACAATATCATGTACCTTAGTTGCACTCTACTATATTTTATCACTGACAATAAATGCAAAAAAATCAGTGAAGAGTCCAAATTTACACTTTATGTTGTATCTGCTACATGTAATATAAATTATTTAAGAGTAAAATTTTAAAAATTGCAACCTAATTAGGGTTTAGAGAGGCAGAATATTCTTTCAAAGTTTAACAATCTATGTCAACATAAAGTCATTGCTTACATGTTTTGGGAGAAGAAAGAGAAATCCTCTTGTAAACCATGTTTATTTAAGAGTTCTCCAAGTAAGAAACCTGTAGAAAACTCCTTGGCAATGTTTATGGGATCTAAATTTAACAAGTAAGGACAAATGATTAATAGACAAGAAAAACATCTTCTGAAAGAGATCGTTAACTCAAACAAATATATTGTAACTTGTAAATACTCTCCCAAAACCTAAACATAAAAATTTACTGTCAGTGGCATTATTGGAATCTTCCATGTATAAATAAAGTTACGCTTTAAGTAATGAAGGGGAGGAAGGGGTCATCAGGTATATAACAAATGATACAGATGCACCTCTTCATAGCTACAAACAGGTTGAATACAAAGAGAATAGAATAGAAACATCCTCCATAATCACCAGTAGAAATTATCAAGCTACAGATTAGTTTTGTTTTACACCTTATCCTATACATGTATGTGTGGAGATATTTTCCAAAAAAAAAAGCGTCGTCATTACGTGGTGACAAGCAATGTATGACAGAATAAAGAATAAGCTTATGCAAGATGGCACGATTAATGTCCTACGTATCGAATAATTTGACAACACAGCGCATCTTTTCAGCTGTTTTCAGACAAGTATATCCTCCACTCGTTGAATGTTGCGCACCTTTCACCCGTTCGTGGGGCACTTCTAGACACTGGTTTTCAGGATCTCACCTATAATTCTGCTCAGCTTAACATCTTCATTAAGCCACCGGCACAATATATCAGTCATTTTGTTCCTTTATAATGCCTTGAAGGGACGTTCAAACAAACGTTTGGCCTCTTTACCCAAAATAATCCGCCATTTCTTCTATCAACAGCAAGAGAGGTTACCAAGGGAACAGTACACTCGAGCCCAGACCAGTCATGGCTCAACCAACGCCGCACAGATAAAACGATACCCTGTAACGGAACTACAGACGACTAGGCCTATCTCACTTGTGCTCGTAAAATGCTCTAAGGTTTCTCACTAGAATGCCAAAAAGTTTTAAGAAACTATCAAAAATCCAAATAGTTGCTACCAAAATTTCGAAAGTTGCGACCTAACTTTCTTGATATTTTCAAAGAAGCGATAATTAAAAGTTTTATTCGTTCTTCATAATGATTACTAACATTAGGCAGGAAAAATAGCTCAAAATTAAGCTTTAAAGGGTTGCTTTAAAATAAGGGCGAAATTTAAGGATATTCATAATTGTAAGGGAACAAAATACATGACTCATTTGGCGTGATGTGTTCAGAAGGCTGATAGTCATTCAAGAAACTTGCATAAATTGAAGTTTTATATGAATTTTGAAATGTGCTTTACACCCCTACTTTGCGCGAAAAATGCTGATATACAAACATTTCTCGGTGTTGCTGGAATCGCAGAGGGTTGCTCCGTACACCAAAAATTGCTCAAAAGCTACCGAACACAATCGGAACAGGCTCTCGAAGCAGTTTTTGCAAGATTCCTGAAACACTTATTTTTAGTTTAACCCTTGGCAACCTAAATTAAATTTGGCATTTTAATATTGTCTGCAGTTTTAAATATAAAAAAATGCATAGAAAGTATCATATTCAGTTAACTTTTTTTGCGCCTGCAGCTATCAGGTGATGTAAATATTGATCACGATTTTCATATAAGAATGTATCACTGACTTAGTAGCACATCGTTTTTAAACGAAAACAGCCCAGTCGTAATACATAGTTCTATCAGAGGTTTTACTTACAGTCCACTGAACCCTACCTTGAATAAATTCATGCTATTATACAAAGCACTTGCTTTTTTTTTTTCAGAAATCATTGAACGAGGTGCCATTTGGGCATGGGCCGCTAGTGTTTTAACTGTATAATCTTATCAATAAAGAAGCAGAAGAGTTAATTTTATCCGATAAAAGAATAAAAGGTTTATCAACTAACATACAGAGAATCGGTCGTGCGGGTAAACGGCACTTTTTTTTCATTGTAAATTGTTAATTTTACATAAAAGAATAAAAGGTTTATCAACTAACATACAGAGAGAAAGGCACTGTAAATTGTATTTACAGACTTCCTTTGCTGGTTAAATGCATTTCAGAAGAGTTGATTTTATACAATAAAAGAATAAAGGGGTCTATCAAGTAAAATACAGAGAGAAAGGCACTGTATTTTTTACAGATTTCCTTTGCTGGTGAAATGCATTTCCACATACTTAGCCAGAGTGACAATTAAAACTTTCCATAGAAACATAAGATTTGTAATGTGTTCACTGTTCATTTTGGAACTCTCCCACCCCATCCCTTACACTCATGACTTACAAGGCACTATGCTGTTTAATCAAACCAAACGTTTAAGAAAATCAAATTGAAACTTCCAAGCAAAAGGTGCCAAAATTGAAATCCTTTTGAGTCCCAAGAAGATTGATCAAGGCAAACTCAGCACAATAGCAAAAATATTTTGAAAACATCACTTCTGTGGCAAACATGGATGAAATTTTTTTGTCACATTATTAAAGAAGCACTGTAAATGCAAGGATAGTACCCTTTCTCAGAGAAAAAAATTCCAAGGTCTTTTCCAGGACTTGAACTGATTAATCCAAGACTCCAAAATAACTATAAACCCTTTCATTCTTAGAATTTTAAAATCAACTCTCCTTACAGTCTACATTCATTTCTTATGACGTAAATTCTTTAAACTTTATTGCTTGAGTTGAGCAGAAGTCCCAAATAATAAAATTCCAGGACTTTCCAGGTTTCCCACAACCCATACAAACTCTGTAAAGGGGAAAGCCTTGGTTGTATAGAGCCACGAACAAAACTCAAGCCAGATAGTGAACAGGCACTTTAATAGTCCATTCAAACAAACTAATACAGTTAAATTATAATATTGGTTATTCAACTAAACTTTCAACCCAGTGGCCTATAAATAAATTCAATTTGGGTATCTCTCCATGTCTCCTACATTTAATGGCATTCATGCAATGTACAATTGTATTACTAGGATCTAAACAATTTAGGTATTAGCCTTTTGGTGATCTAAAAGATCTTTTTCCTACCCATAAAGAAAGGAAGATAACAATGTTTAACTTTAACTATTGCTAATGTACTCAAGAGCGCTCTTACCCCCTCTTGTTTTACTTAGGAAGATAATCCAAAATAAGCTTAGTAAGTTAAGAAAATGATTACTACACTTCATGTTCTTTCACGCATAGTGTTGTGATGTTACTCCTTTTTGTGGCCCAAGAGAGTTGTTTGCACAATGGCCTCCGTTACTCTGTAAGGATCACAGTTGGAGGCAGGACGTCTGTCTTCCAGGTAACCATAGCCATCCTCAGCACACTGACGGGGAATTCTTACACTAGCTCCACGGTTAGCCACACCATGAGAGAAGTAATCTATACTGGCAGTCTCATGACGACCTGTCAAACGACGCTTATTGTCCTCTCCCCCCTTTGGATCATACATGCTGATGTGATAGTCGTGGTGCAAGGATAGCTTCTCTATGGCCTCATAGATCACCTTTATTCCATGTTCTTCTCTCATGGCAAGTGTACTGTGATAGGCAAAATCACTAGTTTATTCACTTATCTGATAAATGAGTCCCATAAATTTCTTGTGGGGATTTGGTAGGTCAAGTGATAGGTCTGTGTCACTGTAAAGGACATTCCCTGGAGGTTGACCAAGACTCAACAGAAATATCCAATTATGCACAATGTTTAGAAGTCACCTTGTGGCCCTTGTAGATTTGATTCTATTAAGTATATCTATGTATATTTATTCAAATTAGGTTATCTGCAGTGCTACTTCATAAATGAAAAAAGTTCACTAACCCAAGGCTGTACATTTGTTCCACCTCATACTAAGCCAAATTGTGTTATAGGTATACAACACCTCCTCACCTGTAGTTAGTGTGTGCACCAGCTCCATTCCAGTCCCCTGGCATGGGTTTTGGGTCAAAGGAGACTTTGTAACCAAAATCTTCAGCCACACGGTGAAGAAGATATCTTGACACCCAGAGCTGATCACCCATGCTGATTCCTTCACATGGACCCACTTGATATTCCCACTGCAAGGTTAGGACAAGAATTCAGTCATGATCAATCTTCAGTGACATTGATAATGTGCAGTAAATTTGAAGCTTTGACACCCCCCCCAACTTCACAGGCAACCCAACGGCATTTGACAGTCATCCATGCTCAGGGGGTGGGAAATTAGAACTTTGCCTAGATGGGATGGGGAATTTGAACCACAACTGTCAACCTGTCCAAAGGAATACAGATGCTTTATCTCTTAAAATGGAGGTGTTTTAAGGTAAGTAGTTCACTATCACAAGTGGATGACTCAGGAGGAAAGGTCTACAAGAAAGTCATGGTCGCTGATCTTGCCTTTTAGGAGAAATTGACCCCTTAATGCTGCATGCAGAAAAGGCATTTGAACACAATTTTGGCCACAGTGCAGGGATTTAAACAAACCAATCTTCAAATGTTCAAATGCCAGAAGGGATGGTGGGGGGGGGGGATATGTCTAAGCTTCAAATTGATTGGCCCACAAAAGACATGTTGGATATACAGAACTGCTGCTTACCCTTTATTTAAGAAAAAAATAAAAATTAAAAAAACTATGAATCTAATCTCCTCAAATACAAATTATTACCACAAGCACAGTCCTCAAAAAAGGGTAAATAAAATTTACTAACAATTACTGATACTTTGACAACTATGAGCAAATATATAAATTAACAAAGGAATCCTTCTCACTCATAATTACTTTGCCTGGTTGATGTGCATGTCAGAGATGAAAAAACACGGTTTTTTCATTCATCAACACGTTTCCTAACCTGTGCAGGCATCACTTCAGCATTAGTTCCAGCAATCTTTACACCAGCATACAGACAAGCTCGGTAGTGAGCTTCCACAACATCTCGACCAAAAACCTTTCCTGTACCAACAGCACAATAGTAGGGTCCCTGTGGTCCTGGAAAACCTCCCTTTGGCCAGCCAAGAGGGTGTCCATCTTTGTCTAATAGGGTATATTCTTGTTCAATACCAAACCATGGTATGGCTGCCTTCATATGAATGGAATGTTTAATCAAGATTTGAGGTTTGGCCATGCAAAACCAAAAAATAAATCACTGAAGAGTGTTTTTAGAGTAAAACCTAAATATAAAGATAGATCTAAAACCTTTTTTTCCACAGCATTGGACAACAAGAAAAAAAAAGAAACATTCCTTTATCTTAAATGTACAAAGCTGAATGCAGTGGTGGTATAGCATTTGAAAACAAAATAAGGTCAAAGGTTGGCATCCTTGAATGGGAGATTTCCATTCATTCTATATGCCACACTCATGACAAATTTTTATCATAAATATCACTTTTGACGAAAAGGTTGAACATTTGCCTTCTTTTGTGATCAAAACGCAAAATCTGAAGATTACCTTCCTCCAAAATCAAACCCTTATTTCTTTCTGAGGAAATTCTAAGAGATCCTTTCGAGTCAGAGGTGAATAACACCAAAAAAAGGGGAAGAAATTGATTAAGTTCCCTAACACAGCCTCCTTCTGGGTGGTCTAGCCTAACCGTGAAGTAAAGTATCAAAATATTTCGTGTTCTTTTGCCATTCTTCACAACTTTCAAGCCCCTTGCAAGAAAGCTGGTGATACGCCAAATAAATATCTTTCACAGACACCCTTCTATAGACTGAGCTCTCATAATATCCAATCGTTCGTAACCCATGACCGCCTAATGACAGGAATGTCAAGGTCAATGTTGTCTTTTCAAGAAGGCGGGAAGTAAATCGGTACGAGCATGTTTTCATCTAGTACGGCTAAAGCAATCAGTTTTTAAATTCCGTTCCTTGGAAAACAAAGGTTTCTATAATTTAAAAAAAGGGCTGCTATGTCCTTTTGAATTGCTTATCATATGAGATGGAAAGCTCAAGCAGACACGTAGGCGAATAAAATGTCAATTGCCCATGACAACTTTCACTGTCCTCATGAAAGATACATTTGTCGATGCCAAGACTTGCGCAACATGCCGCCAACCAAGTTCACAGAAGAAATATTGATCGTTAACAATTTCTTGACAATATTACTTTAATTCGGCGAAATTACATTTTGGAAATTTGGGAACGTTCGAGATAAGAGGACTTCGTAATTCAAAAGGGGAGGAAAGCGTACATTTGTCTACCATTCTTCTAATTCCACAAAAAAGACAGGTCTTTGAGAAATGCCAGATGTTGACGTCATCTCGCAGAAATTGGCTTGTCCCTCGAGTTCCATTTCCTCTCCGAATCGCATTTGAGGTAACATAAATCGTGATTGAAAATAACATTAACTAGCATTGTTTCTGTGTTACTAACCACACTAAGAAACTTCTTGATCGGTAAGGCAATGGGAAAGTGAAAAATCAGTCTACCATGCCGCGTTTCCGCGCACGAGGTAAGCCAAGACTCAAAATGCCCGATGAACGAAATGAAGCGAAGCTTTTCTCGAGTTAATCGCGACGCGTGTTAAGAAACTCTATACAATTCCTTACCTTAACATCTTCATGCTCCATGGCTTTATTACACGGTAATCTGTGGTTGCACACGCCAGGTTTGTGATCGAAGTTGTACGTTTCGCAGAGTGCAATTTTATTCTTTCCCCGTCTGAAAGGATCTCTGAACAATGCTACTGGATGAAGATAAACATCACTGTTGCAGCCTTCGGCTTGAAAAGTGCTCGAGCCATCAAAGTTCCAGACGGGAAGATCTTGAGGTGTGATCGGTTCTTCTTCTACGGTCTTAGTTTTACATCGTAGATTTTCGCCCGTGCCGTCGATCCACACGTACAGGACTTGGACTTGACCACCTTGATCCAGGCTCATGTATTTCTCGACAAGGGGGTTGCTTTCTGTCATCTTTCTGCTTCGAAGATAAACCTGGAAATTTCAAATGTTTAATAGCCGACAAGAGAACGGAGATAGTCACGCGGAGCAATGCTCGATCAACTATAGCTTCGCGCGCTAGGGAAACAAAACTTTGAACTTTGAACTTTGAATTGTTATTAATGGTCACGTGTGGGTCAGCCAACCGGAATATTCGGAAAAAACCGGTTGCGTGGGAGATTATTTGCATGCAAATGTTGGCGTACCAGACGAAACCTTAATATTTACTGGGCAAAGTTCATTTTAAGTCAGCGTGCTGAGGAAAAATTTGAGAGGTTTCTAATATGTTTCTATATTAAATGACGATCAATAAAAATACGAGCTTGATTCAAAAAACAGTCGGATGAAAATAGCACTAAGTGCGTTCAAGAGACCTCCAACACAATAGTGACGTGACTATACAATGCGTGAATTTTGCGTGTCCTTCACGTGATCGGTGAGGGCCGTGAGCAAGATTTCAATAACTTATTCCTCCACGTGGTCAATTGAAGTTTGAAATGGCACCGCTGTTTCATGCTTAATACACGGCTCACCTTCAAAATCTTCAATACTCGATAATTTGACAACAGCAGCAAAATCTTCCCTACTACTTTGACTAGATTTATCCTGTTGCGTTTGTGTCAACGTGATATTTCATGTAATCGTGCTCACTGAAACCAGCTGATTAAGATCAGCTTCCTCCGGAAGGAGCAATTTATCAAAATAGCGTCGCATCACGATCGATGCAGTTTGTCGCCCTGCCACTCGAAATACTAAACATGGATGATATGAGAACACATCTTGAAACTGCTTAAACTTTTGCAACACAGATTCTGGCTATAAATCTCGGTCACGGTCGTAAAAATTGTATATGTCAGATAAGGACTACGCGTGGACAGCTTTAACAGCACCAGGCAAAGAAAACATGTACATGGGATTTGTTTTTGCACGCCTCGACACACTTGAAACACTCTCCTTTATAACGTTTCGTGATGGTAAATTGACTCATCATTATCGAAAAATACAGCACTCACGGGCAAGTGCTAACAAAGTTTGATTTTAAATAAGATCTACCCGGTGAAGCCAAAGTTCAGCTGTAAAGGTTTGAAGAACCTTATGTCACGTTTTACTGCTACGTGTGCTATGTTGTTTTTGCGCCTCTTTTAACTCTTAGTTTATGATCTTGTATATGAAACAATCTGATAAAGAAATGATTCTTTCGTTGTATCTCTCATTTTGCCGTAAGAGACTGAAGCTAGCTTTTATTCGATATAAAGATTTCGCGATTAACTAGTTTAGCGTGACAAATTTTGAAATCGTGCAAATCATTTGGAACAAAGGGTGCGAATTTTCTCAGGTCAGAGTTGTCGACACACCCAGGGATCTGGGGTTTTCGAGTGTCAGACTAATTGAGACTAAAGGGGTCTGAGTTTCTCTGCGGTCTAAGGCCTAGGTTTTCTTGGAATACTCATGAGAACGGAAAAAAAAACCAATAATTAATCGACTTCAGGCAAAATTGTGTTAGAGGTGAGCTATTACATCTCAAATTGCCATATATGGCCTTCATCAACGCTTCTTCCCTACTCCCTGCCTCTCTCAAGTTTTGAGAGCAACGCATGCGCCGATTGGACGAGTGCCCGAGTCGCTTCTTCATGTCTTTTAGACGCCGTAACGCCGTGTGTAAATTTGTGGCTCGTAGCCATAATCTGTCTCACCGTCATCCACAACAAACATGGGCCCAGAACTCTAAAGAGAGATTTAAACACAACTGTGCGAGAGACCAATTCAAGCTGGCCGAGGCCTCGGCTCTTTTGAGCCGCGAGGAAAAAAAACCCTCAATCAGCAGGCACTGCAATGGGAGAAACAAAGGAGAGATTGAGGATGGAAATTCCTCGGAGTCGGAAAAAAGAACGAGGCTAACACCAAGCCATCTTGACAGAACAAGCTTGATCAATAAATTATTTATCATATGGCAAATAGCATCAAGAATGACTAGTTTATTTTCGTGCGCTGAGGAAGAAAGCCAACTGTGATGTAGCCTGTTCGTTTGCAAATCTAAAGATAACATGATTTGATAGGTTCACAACGTTGATGCGTTAACGTCAAAATCTCAGTTTAATCAAATTAGAAAACTGAAAACACTTTCACGAAATTTTTCCTCTCTCGCAGGGTCAATAAGATGTGCCTTACTTACTGAACCGCTAGCCGCTCAGTCCACCTGTCGCTTTTAGAGGGAGTTGAGATCACGTGATATCATTAAATTAAAATTATTTTAATGTAAATAAACCAAACCAAATTGATTTTGCCCTGTCTGTTAATGATTTCAATTCTCTGAAATTATCCTTGCAAATATTCGTGCCATGTGTGACCTTATTCAATCAATTTCGAGTTGGATATCGGGTTATTGGTTTCCGACTTCGAAGGAACAGCTTCAAGATGCCGAGTGCAGGATCCTCGAGCGAATAAAGCGACCATGGGTTGGAAATTTTATTCGTGTTGGACCAGATATCGATCTGTGGACGGTGCAAGTAAATCTTTCACCGTCAAAGCAACCTCCTCTTGTTTTGCTACACGGTTTGTCTGGTGGTATCTGCTGGTGGGCTCAAAATTTTAACGACCTAAGTGAAGAGCGTAGTGTTTATGCCTTCGACTTGCCTGGTTTTGGACGAAGTTCAAGGCCTGAGTTTGTGACAGATGACAGAGCAACGGAAGAAGAGTTTGTTCATTACATCGAGGAATGGAGGAAGGTCGTTGGACTAGAAAAAATGATCCTTCTGGGCCATAGTCTTGGAGGTTATTTAGCAATGGCTTACGCGTTGAAGTATCCTTCGAGAATCAAGCATTTGATTCTGTCTGACGCATGGGGATTTGCTATTTTACCCGCTGGAATTGTAGACAGACACCCAGATGTGGAACAACGAACTGATTTACTACCAAGGTGGATTCATTTCGGGAATTTCATCGTCAACATATGCAACGTGCTTTCTCCGTTAAGAGCTTCTGGCCCATTTGGGCCATGGTTGACTCGTCTGGCGCAGTATGATAGTAATAAGAGAGCATCGGAACTGTGGAAAGATAAAGCAATGCTAGAGTATATCTACCACTGCAACGCGCAAAGACCTTCAGGAGAAGACGCCTTTCGAAACATGAATATTTTACTAATGTGGGCGAAATCACCAATGATCAAACGAGTGAAAGAACTACCCGAAGACATTCCAATGACAGTCATGTATGGCTCGTCAACCTTCTTTGACCATCGCACAGCTTACGAGATAAAATGCATCCGGGAAAACTCTTCAGTGGAAGTGTTCATTGTGAAAAATGCTGGTCATGACATACACGTAGACAATGCCGGGGAATTTAACGGGTTGCTCAAAGAAATTCTGAGTGGAATCAAAGATGAAGAAGATTGGACGACTGTTGACTGAATTTAAGTAGGATGTGTAATTCACCTTATAAATTGCGAAAATAAGATTAGACAGTCATGGCGTTTAAGAGTGGCATTGTCCTCCTTTCTGCCTTTACTGAACTAGCTGGCCCTGTGGAGGAAATCTCCAAATAGTTTAGCACGCCTTTTTTTTCGGTTAACTAAGATTTCTTTCCCTGTCCCAGACATACCATCTTGGTGATGTATGGAAGTACAGCCAATTTAAAAGCAGTTGGCCTTTTACAATAGTTGGTCACATGACAATTTATCATGAAATGGAGAGATTATGTTCCATTTGCTAGACTGTAAAATTTAAATGAACTATATTGGGAGCAGAGATTTTAGCACCACTCCAATTCAGTAATTTGCACTGAGAGTGAGACATGTTTGTCCTCCAGGGCATTTTATCATTATTTTAAAACTGCAGCAAAAATAAGTCAGATCAATGGGCAAAACAATATGGATAATTTCATATTTAAAAGTAGCAGAGGAAAAATTTACAAAAGTTTTATAAACTTTAGCTTCAAAAAAATTTTTAGAATATGACTTGAGGCAGAGTGATTCTTTAAAGGCAAGTACTACTTTTTTCCCAAGATGTACAGCTCCTTCTTCATGTTGGAGTATTTGGAAACATAAACTGGTTTCTAAAAGAATGTGGACATTTTTTGCTGGAACTGGCCCTCAAGGAGAAGCAGTATGAAGAACTGTTACATATTGCTTATAGTGCAGTTTTCTAAGGCATAAAACAGTTTCATTTTAGGTATACTGCATTCTTCCAAAAAATAAAATTTGATCCCTATAAATTAGCCCAAGCTAGTGCTTTGACAAAGTTACTCTTTGCTGTACATGTAGAGTAAATACAATGAATGTATCAAGACAAAAATACAATAACAAAAATACTTTCACTTTTCGGACAAGTTGAAATTTGTGTTCATATAATTTACCCAGAGATATCTGAAGTGGGTGGGTGGGGAACTTCCTACCGGAGTGTTGCTGAAGAAATCTAAAAACCTTTATTATGTTTCCTCGAATGCGGTTACCATCAACGTTTATTGAACTTGTTCAATCCACATTCCCTTTATATTTTTCACACTATAACCAGGTACATCACACGAGCAAATAAACTCAGAATAAGTGGATGGTTTCAGATCATAATTTTACTGTGATGTGTACTGGGTTTTCAAAAGTCTGTTAAAAATAGGCAGTTAATGGTAATGGTAGTAACTAGGTTTATCAACATTGAAGTTTTCCTTTTTTTACAGATTGCTTTGCATATTCAGATATGAGAAGATGCTGTTTCTTCAATTCAACAATAACATGCTGTGGTTGTTTTCCCTACTCAAAGTCCATCATATGTTCAGCAATCAATGCTTCCCCCTTCAAATCAGCTGGAAAAAGAAGGGAAAATCAGACAGAGAGGTTAAAAAGATCAAAAAGGGATTCATGACAAAAAATCTGTTCCACAAACATTGTTGTATGCTACAAATGAAATCTTATATTTCAATGATTACTATCATATGGTGGCCTGCGGATGTCTACCAGTTGAGTCAGGGTTTTTGAGATGGTTTCAAAGGGTGTTAGACTAAGTTACACGCAACAAGTTTTGGAAGCATCAAAAAAAAAAGAAAAGAAAAAATTAATATACTACAGCAATCAATATATGACTGAAGCAAATTAACTTTTTCCCACTATAAACTAAAATCTTATCCTTTATCATCGTAAACTACTTCTCGGATGGGGAAACAAAGGGAACCCCTTAAGATTACTGTAAATGATGGTCCAATCAAGAATAATAAATAGAAAAATTGTGTAAATGACATTGCTCATGAAAACGCTCTATATCACAAAAATCCCTTGTTGAAAAATAAACAATTGATTCATAAAGTTTGATACTACATGAATTTCTGTAAGTGGCAAGTTAAACAGTTTTTTCCTCCACATGCTTTAAACAGCAAATCACATTTCATGTTGGAGCTTCAAAGCTTACTGAAACTGATTCAATTTAAAATTCCATAAATAAAACCTGAGAGTAACACTGAACACATATGGCGGCCAGGAAGTGTCATATTTAGTAATAAACAGGTAACAAAATACAAACCTCCCTCTGAAATGGTGTGAGAATCTCCAACTTGACAATCTTTGAGAATAACATTCTTCTTGATATGTGCATTTGTACAAATAATACTACCCTGTACATTGCAACTAGTGACAGAAAAAAATTACATTCTTTATAAGGGCCTGGTCACTCATCATCTCCAATACATTATTTGCATATCAAAAAATAAATATTCAACTGCAGGGGTATTCAACCACATTTAAATTGAGAAAGGTATTTCAATATAAGAGAAAAACACATTAAAATAGCAATATATTCAGGAAACTATACTTAACACAATAATTTATTCCACTGCCTGGAAAAATTAGTTTTTATTTCCACTGGTAGCTTTATCATGAGACAAATGATTACCAGATCAAGTCAACCCCTCACAATGTCATCCTTACCCTTCCATGATTGTGACATGATCCATGATCACAGAATTGCTTATCTTGACTCTTTCTCCAATCACTGTATGCTTTCCAATAACAGATTTCTTTATTGAAACTTTCTCTCCAATAGATACACTCTCATCAACCATGCAATCATTTCCCACCTGGAAAACAAAGAGGTTATTTTTTTGGTGAGGAGGTTAACAAACAAAAACTTTTAATTGAGAAGCAACAAACTTTGGTGACCAAAATTTACTGGATTTTTTAGATGATGCAAGATGGTGACAACTGCAAATGCATGTGTTTAAGTGCAGGAAGGCTTAGTCATATCACCTCTGGTGCTTCATGACATCTTAAATCTCTATTTTTGATCCTCTAAAAAAATGAATAATGACCATGCCCTCTTTGACTGCCTTACATGTTAAATACCTGTGATTTGGGCTTTATTGTAGCCAATGGGTGAATAAGGGTAATCTCCTTGGATGTAAAGCCTGGAAGAAGCTTCGGTATCTGAAAAAAATTATCTACACATCTATGAAAATTTTCAATTAATGCTTAAAGCTTTACCAGATGTGTTACAAAGACTGGTGGACAGACACACAACCTATCTGTAATTTTTTAGGTCAAGCTGCAAACCAGAACATCAGTCAACCATAGAGACAGAAAATCAGATCAATCAATCATTCTGTAGGCCAACAGATCACTCAATGAGATGGACAGGGGTGATACTGTCAAGAGCAATTAGGTGCCAGTCATTCTTAGGGGTCAAAGGGTTATTTACTTTTTAAGCTCTGAGAAATTGGACTTTTCTGACCAGAGATAAGATCTGAAATTTAGTGCCCGAGTACTCATTTTACGAAATACAATATCTAGAGAGTTTGTCCAAAACATCCTTTGGAAAATTAATAGTCAGTCTTTTTTATCTTTTTAAATCCAATTTTTAAGACTACGTGTCACACAAAAATATTAAACCAAAACTCAGGAATTAGAGTAAATTACCAGAAGAGTTTGGAATAAAGGAATAGAAACATGGACAAGATGAATGATTTTTAAAAGTTCTAGTAGGACCTGTCTGTTTGCCTCCACATAAAGTGGAATAGTGTTTGTTCGCAAGCAGATTCCATTTTCCATGACATAGGCATGACATCTGATGCTGTTAGAGTGATCAATGTCTGTCAGTGTGCCACTCCATGAGGACAACTGTCTTGTGTATGACATAATATCATCCTCTTTGGCAAAGTCATAAATATCTGACAAAAACAAAAACGATATCAAAAGTAAAAATGTTCAGAGCTCCTTGCTTCTTAGAAGCTCTAAGAATTAAAAGGAGGCTTTTTGGAATAGAGTTCATGGCAGTGATATTGGTACATCCCCTAGATGACACACAATATAATTCTCCCTTGGATTACTGGAGATCAATGTGTGTTGGCCACTCAATAAATCATAGCAAACTGGCTAATAACTGTATTCCACTGATAAACTCCTACCTGGTCTGATGCTACTGAATTCCTCAACAACTGTGCTAACAGATTTTGGATCTACTTTGTTCGCTTTCTTGTTCTTCTGAAATTGTTTGTTTACCAAAAAGGGAATAAGCTCTCCTTTTATTGAACTAATCGACCTGCAAGATACACCCAAGGTTACGTTAAAAAAGTAACATTTGAGAACCAAAACAAATGGAAAAATAAGATCTTTGGAACTAGTAAGATGAGCTTCTGATTGAGCTTTGAAGCCATTTGGGCCCTGAATTTTTTCTTGCTTCTTTATCCAGTGTTCTTCTCTTTTAACTTTGATTTAACATGATTTATAGCTCAATAAGCAGTAACAAGCAAGTAACAAGCAGCAAGTGACCTTACTATAAGGGTCTCTTTCTTTAATGTGAGAGTATAACTGTAAATATCAAGAATTCAAAAACAGAACCAAATTTCTTGAAAATTAAAGGAAGTTGAATGGACATTGTGATTATATTCAAAATTCAAGTATGAAAATGTTCTTGTAAAACAGTATATTTAAAACATTACATTCATTTAAAGGAATTTAATTAAAGAACTAGTGTGGCATACTTTCCCTATTATTTGGAAAGACTGGTAAAAGCAAGACTTAAATCAGTCTCCCTCTCACTCAATAACATGTAAAATTCCACTTCCATACAATTTCCTTGTTAATCTTTACTCAATAGTAAAGCATGCAATGCCACAAAGAAAAGTACAAAGATCAACTAATTTTAAGCAACTACAAAAACCTATATCAACCTGGCAGCCCTTGAATCACAGTAGGTAGAATAAGCTTTAAATATGTAATGCAGCTATAATAAGAGAATCTTACTTGTTTTCTGCTAAGTAGTCAACAATCCATTTCTTTATTATGTACAAATGAGCATCCATTAAATTTTTCACAATGTTTATGCAAGGATATCTAGGACAATATAAAAGATCATAAGTCAAGGGATGATACCCAAGTACTTATTATATGAGTAATGAGATTAACTCTGTGCAAATTTTGATAAACATCATCATGTCTCTTTGATGAGGAGCAATCCCATTAGTAGTATGATTTTCCTCACTAGAGAAAATACAGTATGACCAGAAGCTCAATACAATTTTGGTCATTTTTTATTCACTTATTGTGATGAACAGCAAAGTTGCATGCTTGAAGACTTGCTTGTTTGTTTGCAGTTCTCCACAACTCAATAAAAAAATTGTTTGCACTCACCAACCATAAAGTAATCTATAATTATTACTTGCCAAAGGAAAGGAGACTTATGAATAAACTCCAAAGATAACACCCTACACATTACCTTTTTAAAAGTGGTTTTCGAATCACTAAGATTTCATCAAGATCAGCTTCTGTTGCAAAGAATAACAGCCTACTTTCTCTGGAATCAATACTTATGTAGTCATATTGATCTGTTACAAAAAAAGAAGTTAGAACATAACAGAATAAGTACACAATTTCTCTTATTACAGTCTAACCTCAATTGGGTGCTTCACATTTGTATCTTTTTTCCTGTTTATTGCTTTGTCAAATATATGTTCTTTAATTTGTAATGTTCCACAAACCAAGCTCTAAACTGTGAATATAGTTTGCATTTGTTTTGTCCCCAAAATTTTTTGCCTTGACTTGCTGAAGTGGAGTTGACTCAATTGAATCACCAGATGTATATCTGTTACCAAGTTCAATACCACAGTGAAATTTGATAACTTATTAGGGACTCAAAAATTTCCCAAGTCCAAACAAACTTCCACTCATGTGGACTTAAAGAGCCATAAAACTCCCCTTTTAAAATTATTTTTGAACAGGTAACTCATTGGGGGTGGGTGGATCTTTTATTATAACCTAGTTTTATATCAAATTTACTGAACTTTTTTATGTGAGCCATCTTTTCCAGAGAAAAAATAACTTCAATTGTGCCAGAAAGATTACAATAATTGGAGAAGGTAAGTTATACCAGTGTTATCTGTCTTCTTCTTGGCTTTAGGGTTGTTAGCAAATTCTCTATCAGCACTTGTCTGAGGAACAGGAGCTAGAAAAGCACTGACAGTTGAGTCATGACTCCTGTGAATATCAGCAAGATGATGAAGAGCAATGTCTGTCACAAGATCACAGCTTACAACAAAAATGTCTTTCTGAAAAAAAAGCAGTCAACATTGATGCTATGGTGTATACTATCTGTAACTTTCCTTTCTTAATGATACTGAGAAAGGTTAAGTCCTGAAATGGCCATGGTTAAAAATATTTTACTAGCAGTTACTGATTACCAATGATTGTAATTGGTGCAAGCATTACTAAACATGTACAAACAAGAAACAGCACTCAACTAAAAATTGTTACTTGTTACACAAAGTCATAGACATACAGCATTTAAATCTCTCCACTGACCTCTATTTTATCCTTAATATATCTTAGTGCATCTGCAGTGCCCATATCTGCATCATCAGGAATAGTGACAAAATCAAGCTTCAGTCTAGGATTACAGACAATTGGTAGAAGCTGGTGAAATCTTGTCAAGGCTGAGTCTAACACTACAATGATTATCTCTGCAAAAGAAACCACAAGAGCATCTGCATCTTGATTCTAGCTGATACAACTGTTCCACTTTAAAATCTATTACATTTTCAAATTCCACAAAACTAGAGAACAATATGTTTGTATGATTTATGAGCAGTAAGTTTGTATGATTACAGTGGAAGCTCAATCTAGAACAGCCACCTCTCCAAAACAGTTGCCTCCCTTATGACCACTGTTTTTCTTTTTCTGACAGGCAAGCATTACTTTTGCTCTTATTTAAGTCTCTCCACAATGATCACCTTTCTACTAGGGCAACAATGACTTAAGTGCCTCCTAACACAGAAGACAAGGCAAGATCAGAGTTAAACTCAAGTGAAAAAATATGATTTTATCAAGTGAAGGAAACAATAGGTCAAGGGAGGGGTAAGGATTGTAAGCTGAGATAGTTGCCAGGCAATTCCATCATAGTTGGTTTTTACACATAGCTGAGGTTAAAACTGAAAGGATTGATAAGTGGAAGAGGGAGGGGGCTAAAACCAGAATAAAAAAAACAATGCTTTAACATGAAAAACTGCCTGAGAAACCAGAAAGCAAAAGAACAAGAATCCCCTATCAACAGTAGCAGCAATGTTTTGAGATGTTGAGCTGAAGCTCAACAGACGGATCTTCTATATGGTATAAGTACTATGTTTCAATAAAGCTGCTACTGGAGACAAAACCCTCAAAAATTTCAAAGCTGAAACAAGAAGCTCAATTAGCTCAAACAGGAATACACTCTATTAAACTTGAAATTCTTTAGTACATATAAGGCATCTCATTCAAGGACTGATTGGTGATCTTAATACTGCAGAAAGTCTGATTAGATTAAAGGTAATCTCTGAGTTTGAAAATCTCTTAGATAATGAATCTGTATTTACAAGTGCAAAGTTTCCACACAAGTCTGTCTTGACTTTCTCTGATGCTTTTTCACATAATAACATATCATAATTTTGAGTGCAATTTGGTGTAACTAACCACATGTAATTGTTCAAAGACTACAATATACACTTGCCCACAATTTTGTTGTCTTTGAAAAATTTTACTTGAGCTTATTAACACCAAATTTCAGTCAAAATCATGTTATTATCTATAATCATAGAGGAAGACTAAAGAATTCTTAAAAATAAAATAGTAGCAGATAGCTGTTGCAGGCTTTGCAGGAAACATTGAAACCCCTGTGAATAAAATTATTTCTCTTTCACATCCCATGATGCAGCTGTACATCAATAAGGGGAATTTACCCTATCCTTATCTTGGATAAATTAAACTTCCTAGATTTTCAAAGCTTTCTATGGAGGTTTAGCACATGCACAAACGTGTCTACATTTCTTTTCGCAAAAATTAACAATTATTTTAAATAACAGAAAGGATGATACAAGTTTTAATGCGCAGGATAAATTACATCATTTACTGGGCTCAAATAATTCACAGCTTTGCCTTTTACCTTCAAATCCTGCTTTGTCGAGCAAATTAATTGGGTACCATATCAGTGGCAAATTTCCAACAGGTAACAAGGCTTTAGGGATTCTCTCAGTCAGAGGAAACATACGAGACCCAGTGCCAGCCGCCATTATCACTGCCTGAAATTCGGCCATTATTCCACGGAAACTAGCTTTACAAAATTCGACTTAAAAAGGAAAGAGATAAATGAAAGAGGTAAAAGGAGATTAGCCTTTTTGAGGAAAGTCCGCCATGATGCTTGCGATGTCTGTTAATTTGGCCCGGTGGCATAGCTGTTCTCAGGCTAAGAAGGCACATTTACACCTGGTAAGTCTGGGTTCTAAAAATTTAGAGAGACGTGAACACCTGAAAATACGGGAATCGAAAATTTCTACAGAAATAATCAGTCATCTGCATTAAAATTTGCGATATTTTCGACCTTGGGTACCCCAGAATTTGACTCAACCCGGCCACCAGAAATATTTAATCGAATTTCCAAAATAAATCTCATGCAAACTAAACGAGATTACTCGATGTTTGTTTAAACGTGACTGACTGGTCGATAAATTGTGCGGGTTAGAGCGTACTACAAAATCGCCTCTACACCAGTCAAAGCAAACCCCATGATAAATTAAAGATGGAGATCAAGAACACTAAAAAAAAGTGTTGATGAGTGGTTCAAATCAACCAAGGGGTTTCATAACCGCTGGCAGATTTGAACAAGGAGTCTAAATCTGCATAGTAAAACTCATCCAAACCACACAAGCACAGTCAAGCCTGTATCAAGTGGCCACCTGTGGGGAACAGTGGGGTGACTGCTAGATATAGGTTCTACAGATTTGGGTCAACAACTCACTCAAAAATACCACTAATATTGATTTTGCAAGAGAAAAAATTCCTTTGAAATATTATTCCTGGTTTATTTTGGTGGTCCCTCTTTAATAGAGCATCTGATACAGGTGAATGACAATTCAAAAAGGCCATTGGGACTAAGTAAAGGGTGGCCATAACCACTTGGTAGAGGTGACCACTTAATAGAGGTCAAAATTACAGTGGTTAAGGGGAAACAATTTTAGGATGTTGAAAACAGATTGTTCAATTTGGTGTGACTGCCTAAGACAATACAAGGAAAGAGAAAGAAGAAGAAGCTGTAAGAACAGAAAGTCTCAAGCAGTTGAAATCATTTTGAGGGTAGCCCAGTTTAAATTTTGAGCACTGCTGCCATTCCAATTAACCCCCACTGCTCAGCCACTGGAAATGATGGGAACTAATGATGAGTAAAAGTACAATCAAACAAAGTTTTGTCTACCAAAGGAACCAATGACCCTTAGTTTTATCTGCCAGCAGATTTCATAGTACTCAGTAAGTATCAATAAGAGGGGCTGGGGAGGATAAAAAATGGTGTCACCACCTCCAAAAGTTGATGTGAGTATGATGGCTAAATGATTTTCGAGAAAAAAGATTTAAGAAAACAAATAGGACTCAATGTGTTAGTTAATGATCCAATCTTGCAAATATTGAGAAACAATTTAATTTTAACTTCATTATTTATATAGTGCAAAATACATGGGTATGTGATCTAATGCGCTTGAATTACAAGATCTAATGCGCTGGAACAAGTCCCTTGTTCCAGCTCAATAAAAACACAAAATCCTCCATATCCCAATTTCCAGCTTCCAGCTCCTGTTTCCATCTCATATTGAAGATGCTGATAATGAACAAATTATAAACTATTGTAAATGTCCTTTGGAAATACCTAACTTTCTAGTCTGAGCTGTGACAACGAGGTGGATAATCTTTAAATTGTGTAAAAAATTAAAAATTCTAACAACAGATGAGGTAAAGTATGGTACAGACAGTGTAAGACTGAAATAATTTGCTGCATTTCTAGCAAAAAATATAAAATATCCAACATTGAATACTTTGATTAAATAATAGCACGATACTTTGATGAATCCTGTGCCACCCTTGACAAACTATCCCATGATAATGCATCTAAGTTAATTAAACATAGCAATTATTCAAATATAATTCAACTATGTACTACCATCACTAAAAAGGCTCCACTTACATTTAAGTTTACATTTGAACAGAAGACTTTTACTTTATAACATTTAATTGATTAAGGACTTTAAAAGTGATTAAAAGTAGAGAGCAATCAATTTCTCCATGTCAATAAAAATTAGAGTTTACATGAGACATCATATTTGCCACACCCAACATACTGCTTCATTGTTGGATTATTCAAGTCACCATCATTTCCTTCACCAGTGTCACTTGATGGGCCAGTAGTCTTAATACACACACACTTAGAATCCTTTTTCCCTGGTTTAAACATTTTTCTTGGTACTCCGACCCAACTACGACTTATTCCACCACTGCAGGAGAAAGACAAAAGATTCATTTTGTAATAGGGCTCAGATCTGGGTGAAAGACATTGCTAATTTTCAGATATACTGAATTTTACAAAATATCCATAGCAAAGGTACTTAAACATTAACAAACATTTGGCTAAAGATTCTATTGTAATAATGAGGTACATAAAGTATAGGAGAAAACCTAGAAAAGCATAGCTATAGCTATGTAGAAAACTAAACTGACATGACAACTGTGATTGGTAAACCCAATCAAACATTTTCAAACTTTTTTCTTAGAGGCTAGTGGCACATCCAACTGAGCCCTGTGCAAGCTCTTGTCTAGAAAAAGGCTCCAAGATGCCTACATTTCAGCATGGCCTCTGAAGAAAAATTTTGCCCCCTAAATTTCTGATTTAAGTCACTAATTTGCCAAAAGTTTGTGGTTTGAAGTCAAAGTAACATAGGCAGTTCATAAAATATTGCTCATGTTTCATTGTACTTTTATATAAATTGTGTTCCTTTCTCCTTAGTGGCACATTTTTTTTAATTAAGGAAACAAATTTGCTCTGGAAATCCATTTTATGACATACATGTATGACTTTACACAACCAATCCCATCTCTTAATACTGGAAAAGTTTTTTCGGTATTTTGGTATCTTCATACCTGTTTTGAGAGCACCAAACTGTCGAGCCTTCCTCTGCATTCCATTTAGAGTTACAACCTGGATAACGTTTATTTTGAGCTTCTTGAAGCTTCTTTAATTTTTGCCCTTCCTTAATGACTGTTTTAGCTTCCTTCAGTGCTTCAGTGGGATTTCCTTCACTGTCATAGTAGCGACCAATTAGCTTTCCAACATAGATATAATCCTTTCTGTAGAAGTCTAACCACTCTTTGACACCTAACATTTCTTCTGGAGATAATCCCTTCACATCATCCGTAGCTTTTTCTCTTGAGAATTCTCCTGTCACAAACGATGGCGTGGAATCCCGACCTGCAAACACATTGTACCCGCTCCCAACTTCATAATGCTGTCTTCCTTTATCGACATCGTAAATTCGACCGAGAATTGACAGGTATACCGGGACATTAGGATCGGACCCATCATGTTTGGAAAGTTCTTCTTCAGTAAGTAGAACCAGCCCTTTGGGTTTGGTATCTGCCTTGGTTGGCACAGTTACGGAATTTTTAAAACGATGAGAAACAGAAAAGGCTAAAAGGCCCGCAACCAAAACAACTACCACAGATAACGAAACATAATAGACACTGAAGGATTCCTGAGCTCTTGTAGCTGGGGAAGACAAAGTTTCATCTTTCCCTTCACGCAAGGCACTCTGATCATGATCGCAATTTTGTGGTTGGTCTGATGCAAGTTTACCAACATTGGACTTGGCTGATTTCGAATTTCGCTGCTTAGACATACCAAAACCGTTAAAAAGTTAATATGAACGTAAGTTTTACGAAAAGACTGACAAATAAATGTTAAATTTTAACGGAAAAAACATCGTTATTTACTCTATGAGGCCACTATTAACATGTCCGGGTGGGCTTAGGGATGACTTCAGGGATGACTTGTCAAAAAGTAAAAAACACGCAAATTACTTCATATAGGACGCATAAACTATCTTTCAAACAGCAATTCGTCAATCGTGACGCTCATAGCACACCTTAATTGCCCCTAAACTTTTGCACAAATATTGTTTTCATCAGTACTGCGACCGAATTTTCTCCAAGAAAATAAGAAAACAACGCATAAGCGTAATTTAGAGGCAAAAAAAATGTATTGAGGACGATCAAAAAATTGATTTTTATCTAAATTTACAAGACAGGAATGGTCTTTCAAGAATCAAGAGACTCTTTGTGATTTGCGACAATTGTTGTTTTTCTTACAAGCAATGGTTGCAACAACTCTTCACCTTCTTTTGTTTATCACTTTCAAAAATGGGTGCAAACATTGCCAATGCACTGATTACATTGTTGGTAATGACAAACTTTGACTTCATTGGGTTGAAATTCCACAATAAATACATTTTCTGTCTCTATGGCTACCAAGACAGCACAGGGAAAGCATTTTATCTCAAACAAGGTGAGAGTGACCACTGGAAGGCCTCTGTACATGTTCCCCAACCAAACTTCCCTTGACTGGTCTTGACTATGATTTTCATAAAGTGCTACCACAGTGGAGAGGTTTGATTCCTCACAGGGACTCACAATTTTTTCCTTTGTTGCAATATTATTGCAGTTCAATTTCAGTGTAAGCATGAAAAGCATGCCCCTATGTTCTCCAGAGGATGACCATTGCCTAATATCAAGCAAAAAATATCAAATACCTAGATTATCAACTACATGATACAAACAGAAACACATTTAAAAAAAATATCAGAATAGTTTATTGTTCCCTGCTGGTACACAAGTGTTATCACAGAGCAACTCTAATCAAAAACAAATATGACCACTATATGGGTTGTTGATAAACCCTGCAAATACTACATTCTAGTGACCCAAATGTGCACATTAATCCAAAATAATCATGACAAAACCAAAACATCACATGCTTCTATGATCTAAACTTTAACCAATATTTTTATACTTCTTAGGTCATACTTTTCAGTAATTTGTTACAAATTTTAACTCAAACTGGACAACATCAACATTTCACTTCCCTCACAAATCAAAAATACCAATAATTAATCATACATCAAGCTAATAATTAATCATACAGCACAGCTATAAACTACACTTCAAAATACAGTCACACATAAGTGTCATCATTATACCTGATCTGACAACATAAACATAAAGAGAATATCATTCCCATTATTTGAATAACTGCAATCCATATGCCAAATCCACTGATCACATGAAGATTGTTCAAGAGATATTTCCTAACAAAGTCATAACAACCTTGGGTGTAGACTTTAGTTGGATCCTGAGTGGCATTTTTATTACATGTGACATCGGAAGGGTCTTTGCAGCAGCTTTTAGGGATGGATCCTTCATTCCTTCTCCCCCAACTGGTGTTGAACCAATCAACGTATTGATAATTTCCACAACATTTAAAACTTCCTTGTATTTCATCAATTGCTCTTGTGACAGCTTCATGGTCAGTATCTTGATACTCATTCAAAGTTTCTTGTATATCACCTCGTAAATTGTTCTCAATTTCTTCCCTGTTAACATAAGTCAGAACAATTGCAGTAATTTCCAGAAAGAATATAACCACAATAAATGCAAAGTAGGAACCAAGCATACATTGGTTTTCTTTTATTGCTCCACAACACGCCATAAATGCCACCACAATTGTAACTGCGCCGATAACAACACATAAAATCGGTGCTGCTTTGTAGTTGATGGAGCCCGCCAGTTTAGTATAATCTCCTGCTACTTCTCCTTTATTACTGAGCAACCATATTCCTAAACCAAACAAAGTACAGCCAGCAAGCCAAAACAATAAATTGAAGAAAACTACCATAAATTTCAAGCACTTGTATCCACAATCTCCAGTCATGTTCATGCACATTGATCAATAGGAACTGAGATCTTTGTTCAAGTATAACGATTTTAATTGATCAGTTTATTACTTCAAGTTGTTTAGCAACGTTAGACCGCACCGTTTGTTGACTGATCGGCGCGGCAATCGAGTTAAATCTTGATCGACTCCGCCTTCAGAAGAACCAAGTCTCCTTAATCCCACCGTTGCGACCTCTTGATGTGGAGTACCCTCACTACAAGGAACGAAAATCCTCTTGCTAATTACAATTTTAAGTATTCCATGTAAGTCTCATCATTCTGCCTTTCCTTGAAGAAACGCTTGTTTTTATCTTCCTTTGCTAGAAGAATATTCAAAACAGCAATACTTGGTTAATTCATGACAATGTAGGGGAACATGGTTAAATAAGCAAACATGAATAATTGAAGAAATACGTGTCGAAATTATTGAAAAGCTTTTGAATATTATTTTTCTCCCACGGGAACTCATCGCCGCGATTTGTGATGTTGCCGGAAAGGCTATCGATCTAAAGATGGCATTCGTAACTTAGACATCAGTGATCACACATTACATATAGTTCACTTATGCTTTAAAATTATTTCCCAATCTCGCCTTTTCACCGGACGAAAACATATTTAGCATCTTCGATCGCCATCTTGAATTACTAATCAGCTGCGTCGCTTCACCAGTCTCTTCTCTTCAATCCTTCTCTGGACATTCCAGCAGGTAGAGCTGCCGTTGCACGGTTGTCTTCAGTTGCTTCAGACAGTAGACAGTTCTTATGTGATTGCACTTGTTTTGCATTGCCCCAGGGGTGAAGCAAGGCATTAGAGATCGATTTCTTTAACGTGGCCTTCGAATTCTAAAGATCCTGGGCGTTACGCTGGACAATAAATTCTCCTTCAAAGATCACGTAACAATTACGCTAAAAAAGGCATATGTAAAATTCGCCGCTCTCCGCAGAATAAAGCGTCTTATACCTTCCTCTATTATGATCTCTTTGTACAAAACATATGTGTTACCTCATTTAGAAGACTGTTCCCCTCTATGGTTAGGAATCTCTATTCCCTTGAAAAATAAGCTGGAAAAATGTAACTTTTACGCGTTAAGAACTGTGCTTAATCTAGGTAGATCGACTGAGTACAAAGACTGTCTCAGACTTGCTAATATGGACACCTTAACCCAAAGACGTCTTACTGTGTCTTTAATCATGTTTTTCAAGGCATACAGGCTACAGGGAGCTTCGCATATCTCGAATTTTTTCACACCTAAGGTCTGTCACTACAATTAGCGCTCCTCTGCTCTTAATGTTTCCCAGCCTGTAAATACCTCTAGCCATATTCATAGCTCTTTTTCATATATTATCTATCATTCCTGGAACCAGCTACCATCTTCAGTTAAATCGGCAACTACTCTAGCAGAATTTAAGACTGACCTATCTCGCATAACCATGCTTGGCTGTAAGTGTAATAAGTGTATTAGTATACAGTTGTAAGGGTAGGGTTATGAATTGGTAATTAGGCTTCAGGGTTAGGGCTATAAGTTAGGTAATTAGGGCTGGTGGGGTTTCAGGGGAGGTTCAGGATTAGGATTAGGGGTAGGGGGCTAGGTGATATTTTTGTGTTTTTTTCGTCATATATACATATATTTAACTTGTATATATATATTTTATATACACATCTGTATTTTATCTGTCGAGCGTTTCCAACATGAGCCATTAGGCTCGGGGGATTGGGTAACCACCCCTACGTTACCGACGTGGAATAAATTGTATTGTATTGTATTGTATTGTATCAGGTTAAATTGCACTTGAAAGACGTAGAAATAACCAGAAGCTTTGGGGGAAAATAAGGGAAAAAAAGGTATTCAGATGATACTAAAAGGTCAATATACATAAATCGACCGCCATGAAGATACAATTGGTCGAGAATTCATCATTCGGTGGAATTTTCTAAATATTTTAAAGGCAGTGTCTACAAGATGTAGCGCCATGCTTTCTATGACCACTACTTTTGATTCTTCTTCTATTTCAAGAGCAAACTATATCTATTTTAGCGGTCAACTGATAACAAGTCAGGGTTATATTTTATATGCATAAGTGCATGTGTAATGACTGAATGCTTTCGACCGATCAGACATTTCATAGTAAGGTTAATGTATGCGATCCAAGTCTTCTAAGGCTCAGTGGTATAGCATTCGAAGTGCTCATGGGAAGGGCGTGGATCATTCAACGGAACAGCATCATTTTTCAGCTCTGGGTTGTCAGGCTTTGCGAGGCCGGGGTCATAAGTACAAATGCATTTTAAGGCCCACTTAAACGGTTTTTAACAATTGACCAACAATCGTTGTCCAAAAGTTGAACGGATGTTGGAAAACGTTGAAACCGTTTAAACGGGCCATTGAATCGATGTTGAATGAAAGTTTAAATAGATTTAAACTTGATTCAACACGCTTTCAACAAACTTCAACATTTTTTACGTTTTCAACGATGTTGGACGACCTATTCAAACGTACCGAACATTTGGTTCAACAAAGTGTTGAATGCATGTTGAAGCAAATGTTGAAACCGTTTAAACGGACCTTTACGCCCTGTCGCCAAATCAAACCAAATTTTCCAGATTGAAAACACTATCCTTCCTTAACAAATAAGTCATTTGTCATTTTATTTAGAATAACTGATTAGAGTAAGACGGCGAGAACGTTTTTTCCCGAAGTAGTTCAGTTTTTTTGTGGCTACTGCCTCTTATAGGAAGTGAAGCCACATATGTCTTCGAGATGAGTGGGTGAATGATCCTGGTAACAGTAGAATTCCGATCTTGACACAATTTTGACCCAATGTTTCCCTGTGCTACTTATTGTTTGTTTCGGAGTATTGTACTAGTTTGACATTCGCACTCGATACACAGCTGAGTTCAACTGAAGTTTGAATCAGCGACTTAATGCCGAAAAGAGGGGCTAAATTTGCGAAGCGAGCAAGCTGCGAAATGATAACGGAAGGAACTTGGGAATGACGGAATATAGTGAAACGCCAATGCCTCGTTGTATGAAACAAAAGTCTCACAAAATAGGATTCCAATAGGGTAAGAAAATTATTCATGATACATAGGCGAAATGAAAAGAAGCATTGCATAGGTAATCATTGCTGTAGCCCAGAGGATAGTGGAACTATGAGGCTTTTGGGCTAACTCCTTTAAATTATTATTACATTACTTTTGTTGTCATAATTATTATTGTTAGTATGATTATTTGTTACCATTTAATTATTGGTTGAATGTCAATCAGTCAAAATATTCTTGAATCATCTTTCTCTAGTGGAACAGCATATGGGTACTTATAAATTAGGTAGAATGCGGCAGGTGTGAATACAAATCTTCTGCAACATTATCTTCTAACGTCATTCTACAACCTTTATTTTTTATTCAGTGCTCTTTAAATCGTGCTACATAGGCAGCCAAATGCAGTCTCAGACTGCCAGCCACTATTTTTCCTAATTCATTTCTTCTATCAAATACTCCTTTCTCATTTCGCGCGACTCGAAAACCAAGAAAGAGACTGGGGATAATGGCCGTGTGATCCATCGTCGTCCAAACGGTAGTTACTTTCTATTATGGCTTCTTTTGAGGAAGATTTCCTAGCTCTTTGTCAAGATCAAAGTTGCCAAGAGGAAGGAAAAGAAATAATAGATTTAGGAGGTCCTTCAAATGAATCTGTAACACCAAAGTCCATCAGCTTTGACATGTGGAATGGATGTACCCCAAGTAACTTCAGCTCCAAGCTTGGTCAAAATAAGCTTTTTAAACCTGTTTGTGTCTACGTACTTGAAAAGGTTGTCGAGTATCTGAGTATGATTAATGTCCAGTACTTTATTTGTGGTGGTACAGCTCTGTCAGTTTACAGGGAAGATGGAAAAATGATACGTCATGATGGGGATGTAGACATCGCAATTTTCGAGTGTGAATTTTCCAGTGTTCTCCAGAATCTACACTCCTTTCCCGCCATGCAAGACGGTTTTATACAAGTGTCCAACAAGTGTCCTGTGAATGGGACAAGTTGGTTTGATGAACATGAAAGGGAGATATCCTACAATGGAAATGGTGGAAAACGACTCAAATTCTGTGCTAGCCGAAAGCTGTGGGATAGATTTGCAATTCGAAAGGATTTGTTGTTTGACCCTAGCCTAGCCCATTTGGATGTGTTTACGTTTTCACAACATCCTGACGACCACAGTTGCTTCTGTTACAACTGGAATATTCCTGGAAGGTACGATTATAGGCGAAAACGATTCCCAAAGACGTGTATCCTGCCTCTGAAGACGTACAACTTTGAAGGTATTTGTGTGAAAGGACCAAACTGTTTGAAGACTTTCCTTGAAGTGGAGTATGGATATCTGGGCCGTGACGCTATGTTCGACTTTTCGTCACAACTTTATGTGAAAATTCCTCAGTCTGTGAGTGAAAAACTACCAAAGAAGATAAGAAAAGTTTTGACTAGTGATAACTAAAGCACTTAATTGTAACAACATTCATGATACGTCTTGGGTGGTTATTACTGTTATTAAGTTATGGTGACAAAATAAAGAAAATTTAACCTTTTAATGTTTGTACATGTGATGCCTTGTAAACAATATTGGACACCTAGAGGTTCCACATAAACTGCCTCTTTGAGAGACATCAGTATAAATAAGTGTGTAAGAGAATTTCTTCAAACTGCTTGCATTTGAGCATCAAGATAAGAAAACCTTATCAGTGAACAAGTAGGAATTTCTCCTTGCAATATCAATACATTATCGAGCTGACAAGTGATGGGATTACAAAAAAGTATCAGTTAGGGGATTACAAAATTCTCAGAACTACCAGTAACATCATAAGAATTCTGTGACAGACAGTAATAAGAAGCAAAAAGATCTTGAGAGTGAAAATGTTCATGTCCAAAACATGAGGAGTGATTGCCCAGTCTCCCCAGCCAAGGGCTCATTTTATAAATGCTCATCAAAATAGATGTAATTGATATGCATAAATGAATGGTGGAGTAAATAAGCTAGCATAAAAATCTCATACAACATATCTATAAGATTAATATCCATACCTATACTAATTTACAATATCCTATTTTTAAATACATCTGGATCAAAATAAGATTAGCCTGATAAGCCTGACCTGACCCATTCTCAGAGACCCAGGGGCTGTGAGTCTATTTCAAGTTAGGGCTCTCCCACCCTGACTTGCTTAATATATAAGTAGTTTAGGACTTAATACAGACCAGAGGACAATTCCATGAGAATCATGTTTAATAAGAAGTTGCACATGACAAGACCATGATGATAAGGTGGTTGAACCTCATTATAAAGGTCTTTGGAAATGTACTTGTTCTGCAACAGAGGACTGTCTGTTAGGATGTTTACTGGCAACTTTGTTGCTCAGATCCAACTAGGCCCATTGCCAGGAGATAGAAACACATCTTTTTCATGTAAATGGTAAGTGGGAGGGTAGTGCTGTTGTTCATGGTTCAATGCTGATAGGTAGTCTCTCTTACTGAGCAGGTTGTGTTCCCATTCATCTACCAAAATACAGTGTTCAGTTGTATGCATCTCCTGATTATATGACTAACTGTAGACCCTTTGAATCAAAACAATACAATTGTCATGTCAATACTAGTGAATTCCATATAGTTTCTTTTAATTTACAGGTAATTTAATTTAATGTATTTTTATTTTAACCCATTAAATTAATATTTAGCCTGGACTGCCACCATCTCCACTGGCCCCACCCCACAAAATAAAATTTAATTAGTTGAGTGCATCAAATTCCAGCCAGTTTTGGCCAAATTTTCTGACCAAACCTCAAGGAATTAATCAGGGCTTCACTCATTTTATGCTCACTTTATAATAACTTTTTCTAATAACTTTTATAATAATGTTGTTTTGGTTGTTGTGTGTGAAAAGTGTAAAAAGACCTTTGCCCACACTGGGCAATAAATTATGATGTTTTCCATTTGTTTCAGTAATGTTATTGTACCTCAGTTGTATTAATTAACTACTGTGAAACCCTGTATGGTGTTATGGAGTGGAATGCAGTGCATGGGTAATGAAGCAAGGTTAGTGTGGTGGACAGTCATTTCAGCAACAATATATGTCTTAACAATTTCTCCTCTACAAAGAACTTTCAGGCCAAATGTCCAAAAGACTCAACACCATATGGATTGCTGAATTGGCTTTATTGTTTGGTTGAGGAAGCACAAGTACTACATGAAAATCGTCAGTGAGCTGAACAGCAAGCCTTTGATTGATTGTTTAACATTTTACACAAATGTTATAATTCTGCTGTACAGTGCAAGGTGTCGCCATTGTTTTGTCCACAATTTCCCTCTGGTTTTTTTGCCTGTTGCTGTCTAAACATATCATTCATATGTACTCCAGTTCCAAAGCCTGAGGGTGTCCACCCAACTTGCCAACAGACCAACTCACTGACACCAACTTGCCCACTCATAAAATCACTTCAATCACCAAGTTTTTTAGGTAATAAGCTCATTACAGAATTAGTGTTGTTTGATGTTCTATGGAATGATAATAAAATTTGTATAATTATAGAATGATAACAAAATAATTGAAGTTTCAAAAACAATTAATTGACTTTATGCAGTTGCAATCCAAACCAAAGTGACCTCTAGGGTGTGTTCAGTCCTACCTGTTCTATCCAACATCATCCGTGCTGCTCACTAACAACATCAAAGCATGCGGCCTGCCAATTCTTAAGACTGTGACTTTGTCAAAGATCAACCATGACACCATTGATCCACCCGACTTCCTAAAAGCTGAAATCTGTATGTGAAGGATGGCTGCCACCTTATGTTTGCTACAAAAAGGCATCCCAAAACCCTGGCTGATGCTGAGACCTGGTACGTCAATTGGACACTCAACGTGGTACAGAAACCATTTATACAGTTACTTACCATCAACTCCTTCATTAAGTCTGGTGAAAATGTCAATCAATTACCACTGGTGTTTGACATCATGGCTGACAAGAAGACAAAAGATTGTAAGAAGGTATGCATCTTCTAAATGTATATTTAGCCAAGGGTGAGCAAGGTGACACTGGATTTCAAAGTAGCAATGTGGTTAGCCCTAAGGACACTCTTGCCGCAAATTCAGCTTCAAGGCTGTGTCTTCCATTGTACACAGGTTCTTTGGAGGAAGGCACAGCTTATAAACATAGCAAAGAACACAGATTTGGATAAATTCCTCAATAAAACTAATTTTTCTTTATTTCATTCTCAGATTCAGGAGCTAAATCTTCAAGTGGCATACCAAAATGACATTGCGATCAACAAATTCCTAAGAAAGATCATGTCAATACTGTTCCTGCCATACCATGGGATCACCAAGTAACAACAGATTCTCTTTGCAAGCTATCTGACCATGTCAATGTCCGGTGGGTAACCAGTACCATCCATCCAACCAAAGACTGGAGCATCTATGGCCAAGGCATCAGAACAAACAATGACATAGAGGATGGTACCATGCACTGAACCACCCAGCCAGCAGAAGAAATCTCCCATTGTATCAACTATTAGACTATTAAACTAACCCCATTAGTACTCCACATAAGGCTGGTTGACGATGGCATGCTGATGAGAATCCAGCAGAAGATCTTCACACCTGGGCACACTACAAGAAGAGGGAGATCTCTGCAGTATTCCAAGATGAAAGGACCAGCAAGGAACAAATAGTTTGATTATTTGTGATATGTACAACATAGATAATTATATTCTAATAATGTGATTCATGATTTATAATATTTTAATTGTTTTCTTAATAAAATAATTTTAAACATTTTGCATGAATCCTTAAGCATTTTCCAAAGACTTTTATACCATTTTAACTAGTCTATTGAGATTTTAGTGAAAAGGGGACATAACTAAAGAAGATGAGTGGGGGCTGGGGAGAGACTTTGAGTGAGTTGGTCCGTAGGGGAGTTGACTGTAATTCATGGGACCGACATTTCCAACGTAACATTTAAGCTGCGAAGTGGGGGCGTTTTTTTAAAATTTGCGTATTTTATTTCGCGGGGATAAGCCCACAACAAAACAGATAAGGTTGCCGTTTTCAGGATAGTTTCCTTCGAACCTCCTGAGTCACATATCGTACTGTCAGAAAATATTGCGGTAACAGGCGTGGATTATGGTACTGCGTGCGCGTTACATGTATGCGTACTCTTTTTGCCGTGTTCCGTGAGTTTCCAGCCCTCCGTGACTTAAGATACACAGCCTTCCGTGTTTAACTAATGAACTAATTCAAAGCTTTCGAAATCCAATAAACGGCTCAAAAATTACTTTAATGTAGGAAAACGAAATTGAAATCAATTTCAAGGCCTTTCTTGGCTGTTGTGGTTTTCGCCTTGTTCTTTTTTGGGTGTTTTTTTGTTCTGTTTATTTCTGTTCGTTTTTCGGGGTCTGATCGAGAAGGTCTACAAGCAACGCGTAATGCCACCTGCCAACCGCCCGCAATACCCAAGCCAGGGAACACGATTAACCTCCACTTCTCTTCGGATAACAAATCTATCATCTCCAGTGTAGGGAGCTTCACCGGATATCTATGTCGAGAATCAGCCGAAATAAAAAGTCTGCTCGCCCTGTTGTTAGGAATGGCATTCAGACGGATCATGTAACTTTAATGCGCCTATAAACCATTGCAGCCTGCATCTGGACGGTACCTTGTGTTTCCGCTTAATGCTACGTTTTTTGCATTTTTATGAACCTCGCCTTCGTCTTGGTCTACGAAAACGCAAAAAGAGAATGAGGCTAATACCCAGCCATCTAGACCGATGAAGCTTGTCAATAAGGGATATATTGTAGAGTGTTTTTCTTCTGCGGGATCAAAGCGGGTAATCCCGAGCGGGCAAAATGGGCCCAACCTTCCCACTCGGGGAGCCAATCGGAACACAAGATTCACTTCATATTGCCCGCGGGCGCTGCCATAGTGTACATTGGACTGTGGGTGCAGTTGGCACAAGTTGTTTGTTATGCACCATCTTGTATAATAGTGGCTATGATCTCTCACAGGAAATGATATATTCTCCAAACTCAATCGTCATCCTAGCAATGGTGCTTTTTCAGTTTGCGTAAACTCACCTTCAAACCCATTTTTCCCCGCTGGAAGAGTAGTAGAGTTAAACAAGCAGTCAAGCAAACAATTAGACAATTACCTTGCGGTACGTACTTTCGGTTAGATCCTCTTCAAGTCATGCACATAATCGTACTCAATATAAAGGAACAGAAATGTTATCAGATAGTAAGAATAAGGAACTCAATTGAGCTTGCATTAGGTATTACTTAATATCCCTTATTTTCCTATGAGCAACCAGGTTCAGACCATTCAAAAGACAGACTACAATTCAGGAAAAGTATACTTCATGGTACAAGGCACATTTGTCACATCAGTTAAAGGAGCGTTTAGCAAATTTGACTACCGTGGGTTCCTGTTCAGATTACATTGACGATCGAGCA